TTTTCTCTATATATTTAAATGCTGATGCTTGATTGTAACATTTTGTCTGAATATGATCACAGTAAGAAAGCAAAAAGATTCCCTAGTCCTGGTCAAGTTGTGGTAAGGGTGTTGATTAGTATGAATGGTAATAAAGCACTCTGAGGATATAAATACTGCCTTTAACCACTTTTTGTCAAATGTAGCTGAATTTATAAGAATAAGGGAATAAGTGAGGGATGTACTTTTGGATTTCTTTACAAAATTTTTTTTAAGTAAACAGTGTACTGAAAAATATTCCTGGAAACCACATCCTAAAACTAATTGCATTTTCTTATAGGCATTCCTTTATGTTAGGAGAATATATTCTCAATGAAGAACCCAAAGTAAAGTCAATTCCGTTATATGTGATTTTTTTTTTTCTAGAAAGACTATACTGTCTCCTATATGTTCAAAAGCTTCACAAAAAACTGTATTTGAAAGTTTTGGAGAATAATAATAATCCTAAATCTGGTCTGATTCTTTTAAATCTTTATTTCTTCATTTCATTTACCCTATCCTTAGAGTGGGAAGAAGAGAGGAGTAGCCGAAGATGTAGCAGAAATAACAAAGGGAAAGCAATATTATCTCTTTATTTTTAGCATTGATTGGTTATATATGTTTTTGCAAAGCCCAGAGGATTTAGCATTATACAGGAGGACATTTTTGAGAATGGAAGAATGAAAGATAATGGTGAGTGTAGATACACTTTATATGTTACCAGAGTTGGACAGATGTAGACATAAAACATTAAGGGAGCTTCTGTCTGTTGGATTACATTTTCTCTGTAAGACTGGAGATGAGATTGAGTTGAAAGCTTGCAGAAGATAATGACATTATGGATATTTGCAGAGGAGAAAAGCAAAGAGAATGGAAAGATTACTGATTTGGCATTGAGGGCTCAGCCATATTTGAAAGCATGAATTCCTTATGGGTAGAATTTGTTTGGTAGTGTACCTGTATATATAGGTTGATTCTCTAAGTGAAGAATTTTATTGCATTTTTAAAATTAAATGTATTTATGTAAATATATTTCCTTTTGGGACTAATTATGATTGGAACATTCTTTCAAGAGTATCCTTAAGTAATTAAAAATATTTTATTTGTATCTTATAGCTAAGAGTTGCCTAGCTGAATCAGTAATACTTAGTCATGATACTAGTCTTCATATGTGTTGCTTTAATGAGGAAGCCAAAACTTACATGCTGTGTGTTTCTGTTTTTTGTTTTACCTATACACAAGGGATTTTTCTCAAGAAAGCACGTTATCTTGCTGGTTAGCATGATTATGCAAACAAGTTGCTCAGTGACAGTTTGGCTCAGTGGGGAGAAGCCACGCAATAATGCCACATCCATTGCATAAGTATGACTGTATAACTTAGTAATGTATTATTCTGTGAAACTCAGTTGTTGTCTTTGAGTTAAAAGAGAAAAATGTTGTCATGGGTCTTATTTGAAGACATTTTTAAAGTATGATTGAAAAAAGACCATCTCATATTTTTTTTTAAAAAATTCAAAATCATAAAATCATTAATTGGGCTATTATGTTTATCATCTGGGAACATTTCTGTACAACTGTTAACTCATTTGATTTAAGCTCTAGTTCTTTAAATGAAAGAAAGGTAAGTTATTCTGCTAAATTCATAAAAGAAATAATCCCTTGTCTCAGAAATAAGTATTTCCTAACACTAGTTAAATTTGCAGTTTATTTAAATAATCAACTATAGCACATGGGAATAAAAGAGATTTGAAAGATCCTCTTTTCTTGCCTGCTATGCTTTCATGCATGTAAAAGAAGACATAAGGCTGGGCCAGGCAGTTTTTCCATTATTGAGCTCCAAACAATTGGCTTTTGTACAATATTCCCTTCCAAGACTAGTAATGGATTACGCCTGCCATCCCCCACTCCCTTTGTAAATTATATAGAAAAAAGATTTTTTTTTGGCTTATTTTTTGAGGGGCTATATTTGTTAATGGCTTTCTCTCCAGCAGAGTTCGAAGGTAGCACAGGGCACAACAAGGCAAAAGGCAGGGAGAACATGTATATATGTAAATTACTTCTTTTTAACGTCTCTTTCTTTCTTCTGAGTGGTACTGGGGTTTGGTGGTACCTGCTTGCTAGGCAAGTGCTCTGTCACTTGAGCCATTCTGCCACCCCTTTAATTTCTTTCTTAGAAAATTCTTTGGAAAGGCTTGAGAAGGTTTGAATCTTTTAGAAATGAGCAGACTAAAAAAGTGTAACAAATACATATAGCTGGTGAAAAGGAGCGAGATGAACAACACTATGAATTAAAGTAGATGTATGTTTTATTAATTCCTCATCCAGATGTGAAAAATTAAGTGAATGAGTATATTTGAACATAATCCCTGCCTTCAAAGAGCTTCTAATCTAAACAAGTAGTCACCTGAGAAAAAGACAATACATGCTGATAATTATTAGGATAAGACTAAATACATTTTAGGGCTTTGGAAGCATATGAAAAGGGCACCAAACTTAGGAATTTGGATTCTTGGGAAAGGAAGAGCTACACTGAGTTCTGAAGTTATAGAAACTAGGTAAGCAAGAAAAGAGGCAGAAAAGGGGTATTTTGGGTATCAAGAATATTTGCAACCATCTAGGAGGGAAGAGCTTTGCTTAAGTACTAATGTAAGAAGAAACGGACAACGCTGGAAGGGCTCTTTTGCTTCTTTATTCTGGTTCTCAGACAGCAAGATTTTCAAATCAGACAAACTGAGGTTTGAATCCTCACCTGTGAGGCTTCTCTGGTTAACCTATTTAAAATACTAGGCCTATCCTTCTGTTCTCCATTCCTCTTTGCCACTTATTTTTTTCTACAGATATTAGTCACCATATGATGATGTACTGTGTATTTAACTTACACACTTGTTTATTGCTTGTCCCTCTCAATTTTAAATTTAATGTCATTAGGAATGTTTTTTAACCATTTCATTCACCATTACAGCGCTTGAAATGGTGCCCAGCAGAAAGTAGGTGGTCAGTACCTTTTTGCTGAAGAAATAAATCCTGATTCTCATCTATTACTTGATTTTGTGCCTTAAAGCAGTTTACTTAGCCACTCAAGCCTTAGTTTTCTCCTTGGTTAAATAGGAATAATGCCTGTTTAATGAGGAATAAATGAGGTAGTTTATGTACAAAATCAGAACAATTGTATAGTTCTTATAGGAAATCTTTGTGACCAAGTATAGTTTGGAATTTAGAATTCGTTGTTTTTTTGAAAGTTAATAATAACATCAGACATTATGTAACATCTCAGCAGGGGCTTGGGCTGCAGTCTGTGACAACTTTACTATGTTTTGGCAGCAAAACATAAAAATATTCACACAAATTTGTAGTAAGTATCTGCACATTTTTTGGGGTCGGATTTTTGCCTCTAAAATAATTCAGTTCAGGTTTTAGAATAACTTTCATTTTTACAACTTTATGGGATATTGAACATGGGCATAGGATTATGTGTTTAACTATACCCAATACATGGTGGAGGATGCTCTGTAAGCATTGCTCTTCTCTTATTTCCTTGTTATATATTTTCTAAATATAACTGAGAGAATGAGTCTCTAAAGATGGGATTTCTGTTTGGTTTACTGATGTATTTCAAGTGCCCAGCACACTGGGTGGTTCAATAAGTACTATTGACTAAATAAAGGAAATGTCAGGTTTTTGAACTACAATTGACTTGTATTAATACTTTATAAATATATAGAGTAGAATTGTATTATTTTAATTATTATTAATATAGAGGATATGACAGGGTTTTGTTGATATGATTGTAAGAAAATTTTGTATACTCTGTCATGTCTTTTCCTTTTATCTCTCCATTCATGTAACACCTAACATGTTCTCAATATAAGGAGAGCTGAGGCTCATTCACCCCCCACATATCATGTACCAACCATTGTGATGGTACAGTGCTGGTAGTTTAAAAAAAATATATATATATACATATATATCTATACATATATATATATATATATATATATATATGTATATATATACTGTTCTCTTTCTTGAGTCAACCTTTGCAAGGGTTTGTTGTTTTGTTTTGCTGCCAGTGATCAGTTATGCCTTGGATTATTTTACCTGTTACTAGTACTCTGTCATCAGCCTCCAATATGCTGCAAACACTCTTATCACTGAGCTCCACACCAGCCCATACACCATAGCTTTTGTGATACCAGATTATCAAGTTGTGGGAAATGCTGGCATCCAGAAGTACTTATTGCTCTCTAATCCATTCGTGTTTCTTCTCTAGTCCCAATATTCTTTAAATCTCCACGCTTTAATCTGTTTCATCTTTAAGGTATAAACTAAGTAATCTTCAGTAGTGTGCTCATCACAATGGAAATTGGGTGTAGCAAACATTTTTGAGTCTCATGTTATATTTTATTACATTTTATTTACAAAGGACCCATGGTCTTTTTCAGAAAGTGACTCAGATAACTTTTCTTTAGTATAATGATGCAGAATAACTTACCTTGACGGACAAACCATAGGGTACTACAGTTTTTTCCATACACTAAACTGTTGCTTTTGTACTTGGTTAGATTGACATTATGCAATGAATTTCTTGGAATGTAATGTATATTTGTTCTTAGCTATGACATAGTTTTGGAATTTTTTTATTCAGTTAAGAGTACTATAAAATTGTTCTTTTCCTCCATTTCAGTTACAATGAATGCAGTATCCTTTATCGACAGTTATTATGAACTTTACTTCTCTGTAGTTATGATAAGTTGCACTAAGGGCATTCTGGTGGCTTATTCTCCATAGGCTGGGAAGACATTGAAGGAATAGTCTATGGCCAAAAGATAAAGTAGACTAAGCCTTAAAGGGATAAGCCATCAGAAGATTTTGAGAAAACAGTCCACAGATAGTTTTTTATACTACTCTAATAATTAAAATTACAGATATTGCATAACATTTTTCATTGAAATTTACATTATAATACACTTTCTTGTTCACAGCATAAACAAATGTAAAAATTACTATGAAGTACTTGGAGTTACTAAAGATGCTGGTGATGAAGATTTGAAAAAAGCTTATAGAAAGCTTGCTTTGAAGTTTCATCCAGACAAAAACCATGCACCTGGAGCAACAGATGCTTTTAAAAGTAAAGTAAACTTTTTAAAACAACTTTCCTAAGTTCTTTTTAGAATTTACAATGTTTCAGAATATTAAATTCTGCTTTTGGACTGGTGCATTTTGAAACCAGCATAATCAAGGGTCTGAAAAATCCTTTAAAACTTTAGTACCAACTTATTTTATCCAGAGACAAAAAAAAAAAATGGAGTTTGGTTGCACAAAAGCAACATGCCAGTTTTGACACAGTTCTAAGTAACTTTTTAGGTACCACTCACACTTTCTAGCTTACTTCGAACAAGTAGTGTGACGATTTGCATATGCTTCTAGCATATTGCCATCTGGCTCTAAGTCAACTAAAAGCAAAATATAGTTTCTTGTGAGTTCAGTTCCTATGATACCTAGGATTGGGATGTTAGTTAGAATAGCTATCCCCAGTATTACTTTTTTGGTGGCACCGGGGTTTGAACTCACAGCCTCACACTTGCTGGGCAGGCACTTTTACTGCTTGAACCTCTCGGCTAGCAAGTTGACTTACCCAATGTCTTTTACTTCTATTAAATGTGGACAGTATTTGCATTCTTTATACGTATTTCTAGCTAATACGATTTTTTTCTTTTTAAAAACTGGTTTCTTTTCTCTAATCCATTTTTCTTTATTTCTCAACATTCTTTCAGTTTTTTTGCCAGTTTGTTAAATTGTCAGAGAACTTATTTTGTAATTTTCATATTTTGTTACAATTTTTTTATAATAGTTAACTTATACCTCAGAATAAAACACTTAAGTTTATGATTGATCATTCTTGTGAATTTGGCATTCATAGATCCAATATATAGTTTTCAGTAAATGCTCAAGTCTTAGAATAATAGAAAGGAGGTATTCATTTTAAAAATGTTTCAAAAAGAAGACTCAGTTGGTCCTTCATAAAAATACTGTTAAAATTGCTTACAATACAGTCTTTATTTCTTGAAGTTACTCAGGAAAGTATATTTGGGAGTTACTAATATATTCCAATAAAAGCACTGCCAAAGTAGTGCTGGTAAAAGTAAAATACTACTGTGACAGTGAGAGCCTTCTTAGTTTGCTTCCTTAAATTAAAGTGACATGTTGAAAGTGTAGGCAAAGTTACTTAATTTAAAAACGTTAACTTACAAATTACATTTCTGTCAGTTTATTACCTGATGAATGTGTCCTAAAAATAGGGCCATTATTTTTTGTCTTCCAAATACATTTCTTCCAGTATTAAACAAAAGTAACAGATAGCAGCATGTAGATTAATGTCTTAAGTCATTGTATACAAACTTGGGAAGTTTCTGATAAAGTTTTCAAATAGAATAAATATTTGTTTGCTTTGTTCATTGTTAGCACATGATTTCTATGAAGATTTTAAATTTTAATACATACAAAATGCTTTTCATATACTTAGTTATAGAAAAAGTAAGAAAAGTAGCTGACATCTTTGAATAGCTAATTTATTATTATTATTAGCATATACTCCCCCCCAGCATTAAAAGTTTCACATTTAATTAAAACTTTTTGGTGTTTAAAAAATATTTTGGCAGTGGGTTATTTGCATATTTATGATCTGCTAGGTGGTTTATTCTTCATTGATGTTAAGAATGTTAAGCTGTTTCTTTTTCCCATTACTTATGTAATGAAGTCATGTTAGCATTACTGGTCTTAGAATAAGACCAGGTTTGGGTGCCTATATTTCTACAGCTGGTACTGCATTTTGAAGAGGTGAGCAGCATGTTACCCATGAAGCCAGCTAGATACTCTATGGGATTTTTTGTGTTGTACATTCATAGTGTAGTCCTCTGTTTTGCAAGTGAGAAAGTTAACACTTAAGAACACGTAGGGAGGTGATCTATCTCTAGGGGAGAGGCTCATATTACTCAACACACAGGAGGTTATCTGTAAATCAGAATGCCAATTTATTGGTCCCAAAGAGGATCAGAATTGGGAATTGGTTGATGAGCCATTTTTCATTGAGTGGAAACCAGATAGAACGTTGTAGCCTGGGTGTGGTGGTGGTACAAGCCTGAAATCCTGGCTACTCATGAGGCTAAGGCCAGAGGATTTTGAGTTTGAGGCCAGCCTGGGCTACACTATGAGAACTAGTCTCAAAAATAAACAAAACAAAGCAAACAACTAAGAACCTACCGAGAAAATGTTGTTAGAACATTTTATAGCTAATGTAATCACACAATAATAGCAGGTTGATTTATTAAACACACAAGATTTTTTTTCATTACTTTTGGAATCATCTATTTAATTTTTGGTGGTACTGGGGTTAGAACTCAGGGCATTGCAGTTGCTAGGCAATGTTACCAGCCTTGTATTATTATCATTATTATTATTATTGGTGGTGATACTAGTGTTTGAACTCACAGCTTCATGCTTGCTGGGCAAAAGCTATCACTTAAGCCATAGCCCTTTTTGCTCTGGTTATTTTGAGATAGGATCTCACTTACTGGTTTTTTTTTTTTTTTTTCTTTTGCCCAGGCTGGCTTGGATGGCGATCCTCCCAATTTCAGCCTCCCAAGTAGCTTGAGATGACAAGGCATGTACTTCCATGCCCAACTGTTGGTTGAGATGGGGGTCTCATGAACTTTTTGCCTTGAATCAGAATCCTCCCAATCTCAGCCTCCCAAGTAGCTGGGATCACAGGCATGAGCCACTGGTGCTCAGCCATCATTTTTCTTTTTTAAGCAATCAATTTTAACCTCTGTTTTTGGAATACAGAGGTTAAAATTAAGCTGTTTATCTTTAAGCAGAGATAATACTTTGATCTTTTATAGAAAAGCTAAACTATAGACTGATTGCTCTATAATTAATGAAATATTATTTTCTAGGAAATGGAATCACTTGGTTTTTGTTTTCTCCAAGAATAAAAAAGAAGAGGTGGGCACCAGTTGCTCATGCCAGTAATCCTAGCTACCCAGGAGGCAGAGATCAGGAGGATCACAGTTTGAAGCCAGCCCAGACAAGTAGTTCCTGAGACCCTATCTTGAAAAAACCCTTCACAAAAAAGGGCTGGTGAAGTGGCTCAAGGTGTAAGTCCTGAGTTCAAGCCACATTACCACAAAAAAAAAAAAAAGAAGTAGTTGTTTCAGGGTATTAAGTTAGATAGATGTTTCATTTGTGTGTTTTATACAGCTTTAAAAATAAAGAATGCTCTCAAGGAGAGTGGGCTAAATATGGCTGTTTCAGTTAGGATTGTAAGTTTCCAAAAATAGGTAAATTTTTATTTACATACAGAGAGACTGTCACAGTATATCTAAACACATTTTTAAAATATGCTAATGAAATGGATCCCTTCCTTCTTTCTGACAGATGTCATTAAAACGTACCCAGGATATAGCTCAGTAGTAGCATGCTTTCCTAGTATGCGAAAGGTCTTGCATTAGATACCCAACACCACCAAAAACAAACAAGAACAGTTTACATTATCTTCAAAGATTCTCAAATATTTCAGAGACTATTTGAATAGTGCCTGTGTATATTGGCATGTACTTGACTCAGAGGTTAACTGATTTACCCAGTGTCTATCAAGAAGATTGACTATAATTAAATACTAAAACAGAAAACAAATGTCTGAATAAAAGTCAGAAAGATGAAGTAGCATGATCAGAGTGACTGGAGAAGAATTTAGTTTTCTCAAGATGAGTATGATTTCTGTGATAATAGAAGAGAAGGGATGGCAAAAACTTAAAAGTGGGAATAAGGCAGACAGTTTAAAAATCAATGAGAGGGGGGAGAAATGACCCAAACATTGTATGCACAAATGAATAAACGAAAAAAAAAGAGGAAAAAAAAAATCAGTGAGGACTTCCACTTTCAGGAAAATAGAATATTCTTATCTCTGTTCCTCTGAACATTATACATTAAACAAATAAAAGAATAATTGTCTTGTAATTGTTAATTATACATTAAATAAGACAAACATAGGAAGATTCTGAAGAGTGGATAGAAGAAGGTAGACAAACTCAATACCTTAGGACACAAAGGTGGCAGTGAGTTGCTTGGGTGTTTTGTATTTTTTGTTTTGCCTTATGTATTTCAGATTGGGTGCTAAAAGAGTTGGCAATCTCCAAACACCAATGGACATAGACAAAAGAAGCTCCAAAAAAAGTCTGTTTTCTTTAGTCAAATTGCCAGGAAAGTGAACAGCCTACAAAGACACAGAACTAATAGTAGTTTTTCTACCATAGAAAAAACTAGTCTCACCCTGACCCACACCAGCAAAGGCTAAATAGAAAGCCTAGATTACCCAATCTCTCCATGCTATAATGAGATGCTCTGACCCCCTCTGTGGGGGTGGTGACAGGAAGAGTTGGGAGCTTCAGTTTTCATTCATGCTGGGCACTAAGAAGAGCTCTCTCCTTTTTTACTCCTCCCATTCTTCCCTCACAGCATCAGTGAAGATAACATGAAGAGCCTGTACTTCTAGCCCTACCTGGAGAAAACGAAAGATTTTCATTTTCCTTTCCACTGGAGTGGTATATTAGTCAATTCTGCATTGCTGTGACCACATACCTAACACAAACAACTTAAGAGGGGGAAAGATTTATTTGGGTTCATGGTTTCAGAGGTGTCAGTCCATCATGGTGGAGAGAGCATGGCAGAACATAGTAGTTAATCATGGCAGACAGAAAGTAGAGACAAGAGGTACAGGAAGGAACCAGGGCAAGATACAGTCCCCAAGGACATGCACCCAGTAACCTACTTCCTTCAATCAGGCCTCCCTTCTATCTTTTACCATCTCCCAATGCCATCATATTATGAATCCATCCATTGACTAGGTCAGAGTCCTCATGATCTAATTATCTCTGGAAGTGTCATCATAGATACCCCCAGAGGTATGATTTACTGACCTCCTGGACATTTCTCAATCTAATCAAATTGACAGTTAAGATTAACTGTCACAAGTGGTATTAGAGGTGGTATTAAAGGTGGCATTGTGAAGTGTTAGGACTTTTACCACCATCCAGAGGTAACAATCATACCCTCATGGTGTCATGGTAGAGTCCTAATTTTTTTGGTGGCACTGGGGCTTGAACTCAGGGCCTCACACTTGCCAGGCAGGGGCTCTACTGCTTGAGCCATTCTGCCAGCCCGTGTTTGTGTTGGGCAGTTTCAAAACAGGGTTTTGTGAACTATTTGCCTGATCTCTGCCTCCCAAGTACCTAGAATTACAGGCATAAGCCACCATGCTGGGCACAGAATTGGTTTTGGAGTAGGTAGATAACCATAGGCAAAGAAAAAAAATCAACCTTGACCATTTTTATGCTTTATACAAAACAAAACAAAACAAAAAAGGAACTAAAAATGGATCAGAATGTAGATACAAAACATAACACTTTTTAGCCGGGTGCTGATGGCTCGTGCCTGTAATCCTAGCTACTCAGAAGGCAGAGATCAGGAGGATGGTGGTTTGAAGCCAGCCCCTGGCGACTAGTTTATGAGACCCTATCTTAAAAAAACCCATCACAAAAAAAAGAGATGGTGGAGTGGCTCAAGCAGTATGAGCACCTGCGTAGCACGTATGAGCCCTGAGTTCAAACTCAAGTGCTGCCAAAAACAAACAAAAATAACACTTTTTAATTTTTTAACATGGCAAAGATATATAAAAGTATTTATATAACATGATCCCATTTACATATTGTATCATTCCATTTATACAACACTCATAAAATGACAAAATTATAGAAATGAAGAACAGTTCAGTAGTTATCAGGAGTTGAGGACAGCATGGTGGGGCCAGAATTGAGAGTGGCTATAAAAAGGCAACTTAAAGGTGGTGATAGAAATGTTTCATATCCTTTTGACTACTAATGTCAACACCTAGTTGTGATACTGTACCATAGGTCAAAGGTATAGGGGATCTCTATTATTTCTTACAACTGCATATGAATGTATAAACCTCAGAATAAAAAGTTTAAAGAAAAAAAATGAACAAGTTTTTTTTTTTTTTTTTTTGCTGCCATGAATAACAATGAGGTCGGAATGTATTTTGTAAGGTTTCTGAACACCAAAGTAAATTTTGGCTTTAATTCTTTTACACACACACACACACACACACACACACACACACACACACACACACATTCCAGCTGCAAACTATTCCCGATTATAAGTAACACACACATATATATAACGTTCATAAATAACTTCTAAACATCTTATTGTTTGAAATTATTTTTTTAAAAAGTAAAGCCTTGGTGTTGTAAATGCATTTAAAAAAAATCTCTGATTATGGTTTCCCACTGAAATAACATTATAAATGATGCCTACATCTCTGAGTCACAGATCTCTTTGAAAATCTGAAAAACTTGACTAGCAATGTGCAAGGACAGTCAGAAAATCTGAAAAACATTTGAAACATCTCAGGGTAGGTAGACCATCTAACTATTTTATTTCATAGAACAAGATTCACAGACCACATGAAAACTATCTCTAAATCCTAGTTCTAAGAAACTATCAGAAGAAAAGCTCCAGAGTATCTGTGTAATTAATTTGAGTGTAATATGTAATCATCTAGAAGTAACTACCTAATGAGCATCTATTTGTGTGGATAGTACCTATGGCAGCCACCACATGGGAGCCAAAAAGTAATTTTTAAATTTACCATATTCATTGTAAGAAGCTTACAAACTAGTTTAAGAAAGAGGCTGTTCTTATGAAATGATCATTAGAAATGTTGGAATGAGAATAGGGAAGTTTTATCTATTTATTTATTACTATACTGGGGTACATTATGACATTTGTAGAAATTCTTACAATATGTCATAGTTGAATTCACCCCCTCCATTTTTCTCCTTTAAGCCTCCTTCCCCTGAGAATAGGATAGCTCTTGCTTTTAAAAGTATTTCACTTTTTATAAATTGCCTCCAGAAGACTTTCTTGTAACCAATGTACTGTTCTGTTTTAGACATAGGACTAGGAAGTGGCAAATATAATTCTTTATGAGTAAATATAAAATAGCAAAGAGACAGGAAACCTGAAATACCTGCATTATTCAAAATCTAATTCAAGTCAGTCAGCACTCAGGAGGCTGAGGCAGCAGGATCAAGAGTTCAAGGCCAGCCTGGGCTATCTATAAAGACCGTTTTAAAAAAAAACATCCAACTCAGATTTTGTGCTGGACCCCTGGATACCACAGTGAGACCATGGACACAGTCTTTACTCTCATGGAGTTTATCATTATAAGGAAAATAAATCTTGTAAAAATAAGAGTGAAAGATAGTTTATTCTGGGTACTAGTATGCAAAAAAAAAAAAAGTTTATGGTGTAGGTTGCATGGAGTACTGAGAGTATATTTAGTGTGCTAAGAAGAATTTGACCTTGAACAAATTACTTACCCATTTTGAGCCTCATCTGTAAGTTGGGAATATTAATAATGTAATGAGGTGTTTGGTGCAGAAATAATACTCAATAAACAGTAGATACTGTTGTCATTGACTTGAAATAAATATTTATTTTTGAGGTAGATTCTCACTATGGAATAGTGCCCAGGTTGACCTTGAATTTGCAATCCTGCTCAGTCTCTGAAATGCTTTGATTATAGGCATACTCACCATCATGCCTGGTTTTCGGTTTGAACCATCTTGATGAATGGCTGGATGAGGATACTCTAAAAGGAAGAGGCAAGATTTTTAGGGATGGAGTTCAATATTAAGAAAAGATAGTTGAACACTCCTTTATTTCAAGGCAGTAAAAAGACTTGCCTACCCAGTATACAAAGTAATATTGAGGACTGGAGACGTAGCTCAAGTGACAGAGTACACAAGGCCCTGAGTTCAATTCCCAATACTGCTACTTCCAAAAAAAAAAAAAAAAAACAGTAAAACAACAGTAATAACAAACCCTAAACTATGCAGTTTCTAATAATGGAATAAAATAGGTAGTAATTTTTTAAGAAGTTATATTGAAAGGTCATGCATGATGGTATACATTGTAATTCTAGTACTTGGGAATTAGAGGCAGGAGCATCTTGAGTTGAAGGCTGGCCTGGGCTATGTACCAAGACCCTGTCTGAAAAAACTGGAAAGATTATATGGTAAGATAATATGTAATTGCAAAGATAAATCTTTAAAAGAAAATATTATTCTTTCATAATTTTCTTGATTAATGTCAAGTACTTTTTTTTAAGTGACACTGGCTTAGATGGGATAATCTTTTATAAGATAAAAACTTGCTTATCAACTTTTACTCATTATTTTTTCAGAGATTGGGAATGCTTATGCTGTTTTAAGCAATCCAGAAAAACGAAAGCAGTATGACCTCACAGGCAATGAAGAACAAGCTTGTAATCACCCAAACAATGGCAGATTTAATTTCCATAGAGGTTGTGAAGCTGATATAACTCCAGAAGACTTGTTCAATATATTTTTTGGTGGTGGATTTCCTTCAGGTACTTTAATGTTAATTATAAACCTGTGTTTTTTGAAGCCAGAGATCCTTAACACCTCCTGTTAGGTTTATCTGCTTTCCCACCTATGTCTCATAGTGCTAGAATCCTCTGATGGCTTTCTGTAAAAGTAGGAGAAAAATGTTAGGGTTTTTATTTTTACTACAGCCTGTCTTTTTCCTAGAATGTATTTTAATTCAAAACAGTTGAAGAGTACATATATTCTGTGTTTTATCTGAAATGAAGAAAGGCGTGTGAGCAGTGGCAATGTCTTAGTAAATGCTGTTAACAGTTACAGGAAGCTTTCCTCTGTCCTGGTTGACTGTTTTGATTGATTCTGTAGATAGCTCTAAATATTTTATTAATGACATTAATAAAAAGCTAGTCAGATATATGTGGGAGGTCCTCATCTGTATTTCCATTGAAATAGTAGTAAGTCTGATTCATATAAAGTGGGTTTTTTAATTGCATTAAGATAGAAATACTCACTTGAACTAGGCTAAGTGAAATGTAGTGAGTGGTCCCACTAGAAGAACAGATTTTATAGTACCAGCATAAGTAGTATGAACTCTGCTTTTCTTTACTGGGAGTTGTTTGTATGGAAATAAATTTTCTTTGAGAGTAGCTCCTCCAAGACAGTTAAAATTATAGCTCCTGGCTTGTTTATAGCATTTACTTAAGGTACTGAGTTAAACATCCAATTCAAATAAGGAGAATCTTTATGTACATAGAAATATAATTTAGCCTGGTGGCCCTTAACTGAGTGTTACTGAGAAAGATTATGATCATTGCATATTGAAGGAAAGAGGATATATAAATAAAAATTCATGACTGAAAATATAGCCTGTGTTTTGACATAATAACTCTCCCAGAAGAATTAATTAAAGCTAGTAATTTTTATTGAAAATATACTAGAAACAGAAGTCTTCCAGGCAATATGATTTTTTTTCCTCTGATAGCTGATTTGCAGTTATTTGCTATTTATAACATACTTAATTTTATCAATAATAGCCATTTCTGATTTATCACCTTATTTGAAAACAACTTGAATGTCCATCTGTGATCCACTTGCACTGTGATGTGTTAGACAACTTTTTAAAAACACGAATTAGAGTGCTATCTTTTGATTTCTGGAGATGTTTGTGATTTATTTACATGCAAAGATCAAAGTTTTAGAATAAGGATCCAAGGTTTATGAAAAAAAAAAAAAAAAAACAACTACAACAAAAGTCTTTCATGTATATAGTATTACTGAGGAACTCTTACCCAAATTTTCTTAAAGAAAAACTTAGAATCATTCCATTTCTGCCCACCCTCACAAGAGAAAAGGACAGTAAATATTCATTGCTCAAAAATCTGTTTTTCTAAGAGATAAAGGAAGCTGGATACTGGTGGCTCAATGTCTGTAATTTTAAAAAAGGAACTGAAAATGGATCAGAAGTGTAGATATAAAACATAACACTTTTTAGCCGGGCGTGGATGGCTTACACCTATAATCCTAGCTACTCAGGAGGCAGAGATCAGGATGGTGGTTCAAAGTCAGCCCCCCGGGCAAACAGTTCACAAGACCCTATCTTCAAAATACTTCCCCTCCCCCCACCCCCACAAAAAGGGCTGGTGGACTAGCTCAAATGGTACAGTGCCTGCCTAGCAAGTGTGAGGCCCTGAGTTCAAACCCCAGTGTTTCCAAAAAAAAAAAAAAGGAAAGGGAAATATAGTTATTTTGTTCATAATTATGTTCATCCTAATTTAACCTTGTTTTTGAATTTTAATTTTTAGGTAGTGTACATTCATTTTCAAATGGCCGAGCTGGTTATAGCCATCAACATCAGCATCGACACAGTAGACATGAAAGAGAAGAAGAAAGAGGAGATGTATGTTTTTCATATGATTACAAATCACAAAATGACAATTTTTAGCTCAGTAAAAACAAAGTTGTCTAAAAATAGGACAAGTAGTTTTAGAAAATAGTTCTCTTACCAAAAAGGTTCAACAGATACTAGAAAGACTCTTGGGGCTATTATAGGAACGGGGGTGAAGGTAGGGTAGCATGACCTTTTCAGAATTGATATTCTATGATTCTAATGAAGTTATAGCCACACTGTGCATGTTTTGAAAGTAACTTATTATTGGTCCTAAAGGATTTAGAATACTGAAAAACTTAAATTATAAGTAACTTTGTTTTGTTCTAATTCATTTATACCTAATTTGCCAGTAGTAATTATGTTCCATGATGTGGAACGAAAGATAAATGGAAATTAAAAGAGCTGGCTCCAGCTTTTCAATTAATCTGCTCCCATCTTCTACTCTCATATCCAAGGTAAAAAGTTTTGTAACCCATAGTATACTGGTTATAACGATATAATTTCTTACAGTGTATGAGAAAGAGATGTGAGAGAAAGAGATAAGAGGATTTCCTCATCTATGAGATAAGGTCAAATTATATCAGTGTTTTCAAACAATGGAAAATTGTAATTTTAGGGATCACTCCAGAAGGTTGGTATATCAGATTTGAAAGCACTGAACTAGATCATCTTCAAATATCCTTTCTGCCTCTAAAAATGTGTGATAACTATTGGATGATTGACATCTACGTTTATATACAACTTGTTATTCTTTGATGACTTTTTTGTAGGGAGGTTTTTCTGTGTTTATCCAGCTGATGCCCATTATTGTATTGATCCTCGTGTCATTATTAAGCCAATTGATGGTCTCTAATCCTCCTTATTCCTTATATCCCAGATCGTAAGTAAAGTGAAGTTTTACAAAAATTAATTGTTGCTATTTCTTATCTACCTTCCTTTGCAAGGTCTTGTGCTCTTAAACTTTTAAGTGCCAAATCTTTTACTACAAATGTATCAAATTTAAAATCATTAATTTTTAAAATAGCTACATAGGTAATAAATTTATATTATGTTGTTAGTTAACATTTCTGTTCCACTGTGGATAAAGACAGAAGTGCTGTATTTGAACTTGAATTTAATGTTGTAGATAATGTATTGATAAGAAATAAAAGACAATAAAGACAAGGCATATTACTTTAAATACAAAAAAAAATAGTAATTAATCTTACATGATTTGTGCCATTAAGTGGGAAATGACTTTGCTAAGTCAGGACGTAAAGAAAATTTAATACAACATTCATTCTATATAACTTTAATGTAATACAGTGAGCATAAAGGAAACTAAAACCACACTGGCAGTGGTTTTACAATTACTAAACACAAGATTGGTTTAAAATAAAAGTAACATTTCTTTCACTTTAAACTTTTATTAACTAAAAATCATGTAAGACTTTTTATTAACTTTCTATAAGAACATAGTATTTTTAAGGTATGGTTACCATGAAATCATGGTTTTAAGCAATCTGAGACAATGTAAATATTACTAATATTAACTTTTAATTATTTTCATTTTTGTTACCTTGGTTTGTAGTACTATATTAGAGTGCCCAAATTTAATTTAAAAAATAATCTTGCTTCTCTTTTGCAGTGGGTCAGGGCAAACTATCAAAATGCAGACAGAAAACTTGGGCGTTGTTTATTATGTCAACAAGGACTTTAGAAATGAATATAAAGGAATGTTATTACAAAAAGTAGAAAAGAGTGTGGAAGAAGATTATGTGACTAATATCCGAAATAACTGCTGGAAAGAAAGACAACAAAGTAAGTCTATGAAATATTTAACAGCTTTTAAACTTTTTCAGTCTTTGGAATTGATTATTGTAGAATTCCCTGTTCAAGGAATGTTCTGTAATTATGTTGTACATAATCGGAGCTCAGTACAATAAAAGAGAGGCTCCTCATCCACGGATTTAAGCAATTGCCAATTGAAAATATTCAGGGAGAAAAACTGTGTCTGTTTTGAATATGTACTGGCTTTTTTCTTGTCATCCTCTAAGTAATACAGTATGTAAGTATTTGCATAACATCTGCATTGTATTCAGCAATATACGTATAAGGAACATGCACATAGGTTATGTCAGGGACTTCAGCATCCTTATATTTTGGTATGTGGGGGATCCTGGAACCAATCTAAAATGGATGCGAGGGTCGATTCTAATGTTTTATATACATTTGGCCTAGCACAGTAGTTGCCATATAGTAAGGACTTAAGGCACTGTAAAGTGTCTCAGAAGATGCTGACTCTAACAATATGTTACCTAGACCAAGTTACCTAACCTCTCTAAATTAGTTACCTTATCACTAAAATATAAATCATATTGGTAATATATATTAAGCACTTAACATAGTGTCTTATACCAGTATGTTTTCAATATTATTATTTATGATTATTTTTTATTGCATCATACTCTGAGCAACTGTTTTTGTTTGGCATAATCTAGTTTAATCTTTTAACAGTCTGGCAAGGTCAGTATTAATAGCGTTTATGGGACTCTCCCTTCAGCCCATGTTTTGTACATACACCAAGTTGTCTGCAGTTATATTGTACATATTTACATGTGTGTTTTGTTACTAAAGTTGCTACCAGAAGTTTTAATTAAATCCATTTTTATTATCATTCATCTGCAAAACAACTTGTTTGTATTAAAAAATATCAGAAAAAGACAAAGCTGCTGGAGATTAAAGGCAACTAAAGAGACATGATAATAAAAACAATGTATAATCCTTGATTGGCTCTTAGAATGAGGAAGTAGGGCTTCCTTATTAAAGGATGTCATTGGGACAATTAATGAAATTTGAATATGGGCAATATATTACATAGTGGTAATATATCATTTAAATTTCTGAATTTGATAGTTACAGCTATCTAAGAGAATTAACTTTGATTTGAGGAGACATGCTGAAGTATTAGGAATAAAAGGTCACAATGCCTACAGTTATTCTTAAAACAAAATGATAGTAACAACACTTTTATTGTGGAGAGAGCTAAAGCAAATTTGACAAAAGAATATGAAAAACTGGTCAAACATGGAATTTTAGAATGTTCTTTTGCACCACTATTAATTTTTTGTATGTTTGAAAATTTTTCAAAAAATCCAACAAATTCAGTACATCTTTGTTTGTCCTTCCATCCCTGGTTCTGAGCATTGAATCCAGGGCCTTGTGCATACATTCTATCTACCACTTGAGCTGTGCTCCCAGACCTTTTGTTCATTTAATTTTTGGGACAGGGTCTCAGTAGTTTTCTGGCCTCAACTCAAGATCTTCCCTCTGCCTCTTGAGTAGCTAGGATTACAGGCATGTGCCACATGCCTGGCTGTCAGGGTTTTTTTTTTTCCTTGTGCGTATGTGTTACTGGGGTTTGAACTCAGGTTGGCAAGGCACTCTACCACTTGAGCCACTCTGCCAGCCCATGTTAGGAGTTCTAAATGAAGACGAAGGTGGGAGGAGTTCAGACTGGTAACTCACTGCTTCCTTGATTGGGATGAAATTATCTTTTTTTTTCCTTTATTGGGGATTGAACCTAGGGCATTCTACAGAAAGGCTCTACCACTGAGCTATATTCTCAGCCATGAAATGTATCTTGTTTTATAATTGAAGTCATCAGAGTGATTGATAGCTAACAGATATTCTTTTGCAAGGGATTTTCTGCTTTGGAGTCACTTCTAACCTTTCTAATAAATAGACTGGAAATAATTCTCTACTCTCAGAGCCCTTTTGAAGTATAAGAAGTTTTCTATGTTTACTAACAGCAAGGAAACTGTGAAATGGCTTGAGAGTATAAGAAGAATTTTTATTTGTAGTCTTTATATTTACCATTAGTATTAAAATGTCCACACACTGGAGGAAACCTCGGAAATTCTTATATACTGAATATCCCTATTATGATTTGCATAACAAGCACTTTCCATCTGTGTTCCTTCAATAACATTGTATATATTTTTATTCAAGTGAACTCCAAGCAAAATTTTAAATTTTTATACTTAAGTTTTAGGATTATCTGAAATCTTAACAAAAGATACAGCAAAGCAACCATTACCTGTATTGAACTGCAGATGATATTTTTAGGGTATGAGGCCAAGACGATGCTTCAGAGCAGTGATTTTTAAACCAAAGAGTTCAAGTGAAGGGGAAGAGTTCTGACATGAGTTGATGGGATTTTATCCTTTCTTCTTTTTCTGTGTTTGTTTAATATGCTAGGGTTTAGGTGAAGTTTTCACATAAAGAAATTTTTCGACTAAAATAGTTTTGGGGAGTAGTATTTTGATATCTTTTTTTAAAACTCAGTTAACAGAAACATATTGAAAATCTTTGAAATATTCATTAAATTTAAGCAGCTAGGTGATATAAAGTGTTAATTAGCAAAATATTTTTGTTTGTTAACAGAAACAGATATGCAGTATGCTGCAAAAGTATACCGTGATGATCGACTCCGAAGGAAGGCAGAAGCCCTTAGCATGGACAACTGTAAAGAACTGGAGAGGCTGACCAGTCTTTATAAAGGAGGATGAACTGGAGTTTTTATTTATACCTTTTAGTGTATTCTTTATTGTTCCTGTAAATTAGTTTCATCATGAGAGCTAAAGAAAAAGATTTAATATTAAAAACTAAACTGAGTAGTTGGTTCCTGAAATCTTGGACTGTTTATGACCTACTGGCTCATTTAAATCATAAGAACTGAAGACTAAAGTTAATATTTTAGTATGCTTCCGCAGTTATTTTCATTTTAAAAGCTTATATGATTCCTAACTAAAAATATCTCAAGAGGAGATATTTTTCATACCTGTAGCAATTTCCAATTTTAGTGATTCCCCATTATTTCCCTCATCATGTAAATATTCATGGAATAATTTTTGTGTACATACAGTTTACTGCCTTTTTATTTAAATTATTTTTGTGTTTAGCTCCATGAAACACTTCATTTAAGTTGGTGGAGTAGGTGTTATAGGACACAGTTACATTTTCCCTGTCAGGTGTTGAGTATGTGAAATTTAAACAATGACACTTTTTCAAAAAGAAAACAAAGTCTCTTTTAACTTTAATTAAAATCTTATAGCATTATCTCCTTAGAAGGAATTGATATTTTTAATATTAACATTATATTCCAGCATATATAATGAGATAAATGAACTGGTGTAGAATATCAGTTTGTTATTTAGTTTTATGAATTATTAAGCCATACATAGAAATGAAAAGCTATATTGATAGATTTTAAAGAAAATGAGGATAAATATTAAGCTGAAAGAGTCATCAACAGTAAATTGCAGTGATTCCATTTGCAACTCCAGCAATTAAAATATTAGTCCCAACTGTTTATTTATGTCTTTGAAGGCTGCTAAAATTGATGAAGAAAAAGGACAATCTTTTCCCCCATGGAAATTTGTAGTTTCTTAGAGATCATTTAAGGAGGATCCAAAAATAAATGGCTTCCTCTACAAATAAGTAATATGAAACATTACAACTAACATGCAGCTTTGTGCCTTTAACCATATTGCCAATTCCTAAACAAGTAAGTATATTAAAGTTCATTTATCTGATCAGAGCATGATCTGTATGTCCACATGCAACAGTGAGCAGAACTATAGTAGATAGAATAGTGACTTATAGCAAGTAATTCATTAAAAATTCTGAGCTAAAATCTATTTGCCATTCAGCAATTCAATTAGTCCTACAGGAATAAGCTCCTTGTAATTAAATCCATAGTATAAATTAGAATAAAAAGTTGGAAATTGAAGATTTTGGTGCCTATAAGGTATGAAACTATTTGATTTGTAGTGTTCTATGTTTAACAATTACAATATTTTAATGATTTTTGCTTTCTATAGTTAATGGAATACAAACATTTTTGGGAGAGGGTGTGTGTGTGTGTGTGTGTGTGTGTGTGTGTGTGTGTGTGAGAGAGAGAGAGAGAGAGAGAGAGAGAAAGCTAGATAGAGTGGCTTTTTTCTTTTGTTTAAGGAGTTTTTCTAGGTGTAGCTGAATTATGGCATCTGTTAAATAAAACACCATAATGACATTCTCTTTAAAATGCTCTCGTGTGTCCCTTTTTCTGGGTAAATTGATAGAAATACCTGATAAAATTAGTATTTTTCTGAAATAAAATGATAGCATTCTAATTAACTTCAAAAGTTCATGTGGATCAGAAAATTTATAGTAATTTGAATGAAAAAAGTTAATCTATTTATTTTTCCAGTTTTAATGGGAAATTTACACTTTTGTGGTTGACACTAACATGAATTAAGCCTCTTGTTGACTAATTTCTTTTACTCTTGAATCTCAGCTGTAAGAGGATAGGGGAAGTTAAAAATGAAGTGAAGTTATACATTATAAAGTCATACATGATTTTTGGACAGTATTATATTTCAGGTTCATTGCTGCATTCCATTCCATTTTATAACTTAATACAGGAAATGTGTTTGATGAAATAGAATTTTGAAACTGTGGGAAATGACTGATCAAGTGCTAACAATTTAAGCCACACATAAAACATGCAAGTAAAGACTGAGTCCTTAATGTCACCTACACCACTGTTAAAGGCCCAATAAGTATTTTTGAGTTTTAAGTTAATTTTACAAAAAAGACTTTAAATATTCTGAGATGTAAGATTTCCATGTTTGCTACCCTTATATGATAAAATTCTAGTATTTTGCTGTTATTTTATATCTACATGATCTTTGCAGTTTCATTAGATCATTTTAATCACCACCTAAAAGCCCTTTGACTTTGATTATTAACTAGGTTCTCTAAACCTGCGTTTTGGAAGTTCAGCAGCAGTAATATTTATTAATGCTTTACAATTCTATCCCTTTTTTACTTAACACACACACACACACACACACACACACACACACACACACACACACACACACACACACACACACACACACACCACATCCTGGGAAGAGAGTTTGGGGGCAAAAGGAAATAGTATATTTTATTTTCTCCTCCTCTTTTGGTTCTTTTGTTTCCAAATAGAATGGTGCTAGTCGTTAGTCATTTGTAAGTTTTAGAATTTATTTTTGAGCAAATAAGGTAATTGAATTTTCAACACAGATATTTCAACTTATCCACCTAATAATTAAATGAAAATAACATTTTGGGAACAGATTACATTTGAATGCTTAACTAAGTATGTTTCACAACCATTACATGCTTATCTGTGATTTACAAAGTATGTGGTAGAGAAAAGTGAAGTCCTTAAGGCATATATATGCCAATGTATTAAATTACTCTGCTTTTGTGTCAGCTCAGATGTTCACAGAACAGGAATGTGGAACGTCAGACTTTAATTGCACTTTTACACTTAATTTTTCCTCCTGTTAAATCTTCTTTTACACTAGTATGTAAAATAAAGAGAAATGTTTTTGATTTCCCTATGTTGATCTGTAGTATTTCAAGATGTAGCTATTTAGTACGTGACATGCTAATGTTATTTACTGTGTTCCTATGTTTCCTTAAAAAAATAAATTACTACCTTTTTAAGGCAGTGAACTATTTCTTGACAGACCTGAGGACCAAATGAGTCACCTTGTCAGTTAAGCAAGTATTACCACAAAGGACCAAATGGTTAAAAGAGGAAAATGTATGCATTTATTTAGCATCTCTGTGTGAAGCGTGGGTTCAGTGCTACCTATATTACTATCCCTCTTCACACTGAGTGAAACAGCTAAAAGGGAATTCAGAATTTTCTTATCTGAACAGATGAACAATAAATCTGAATTTTAATCTTCACTAAATAGCTGAAAAACCTTGCCATGTTGGACTACTGCCTAGTTAAAATCCACAAAATTCTCTCTATATAATGGACTACTGCCTAGTTAAAAATCTACAAAATTCTCTATAAACCAATGAAAAATAGGCTGACAATGACCTCCAAATTTTCTTTCTTTTTTTAATTTTATCACTTTTACATTTACTCACATGTGTAAACATTGTTTGGGCCACCTCCCCTCCCCAAGTTTTCTTAAATTCTAATTTTCAATTACAAATAAAAAGTGGATAGAAATTGGACATGGTATTACAAGCCTGTAATTCCAGTACTAGGGAAGCTGTGGCAGGACGACCATGAGTTCAAGGCCAGCCTGTCTCAAAAACAAACTAAAAAAAGCTGGGGGCATAGCTCAAGTGATACATTGCTTGCCTATCGTGCAAGATGGTGGGTTCAATCTCCAGCACTGCACAATAAATACATAAATAAAAGTGGGTAGAATGAGGCCCTTCAAAAAATTCTTGCACACCCCTTTAATAATTGGCAGGCAACAGTCCTAGAATTCAGGCTTTCTTGGTTTCATTACTATTAAATGGATACTTTCATATAAATGGAAACATTTTTCCTCAAAACATTAAAACATACTCCTTATATTAAGGATTATGTAACCACTTTTTTTTTTGTAAATTCCCTATGTATAACTTTTTCCTGTTACAGAGTTCCTTTTCATTTCATTTGATTATCTGCTGGTGTAGGGGCCAATAGTTTTGTGAATATTCTGTGGATGTGTCCATGTATAAGTGTATATATTTTTCCAGCTAATACCTCAGATGTGTGATTGTTTAATATATACTACACTATGTTTGCACAGAACAGGGCTTCCATTAGCTGTGGGTATTCTTATTTCTAAATTTGAAAATCAGTCCATAGACTTTCACTGGTATAAATTCTGTTGATCATGTTTTAATGCAGATATTCCTATTATAAGGGTCATACTTCAAATATAATTGTATCTTTTAAAATCTAGCAATCTGGAATAATGTAAGGGTAAGAAGTGTTTCTTGAAATGTCTTAGTTTAGTAAGTTACTAAAAAGTGGGATGACTAGTTGCCATGGTATCTAGTAACTACAGGGCAGATTATTCCTGGCATGAATGTAAGCAAGTCTCATTCATGTCAGCACAAGATTCTGCACAAATCTCATATTTCTACATTGACATTTAAAAATATCATTAAAATAGTAAGAGATTTTCAGTTGGGGTATTTTAATCATTACTTTTGAAATGAATTTTTTTGAGTTGGATGACTATAATAAGAAACAATTGATATATTGTAATTTATTTGTACTAAGAAATGCTTCTTACTTTTTTTGCTTTGTTGTTGGTTTTTAGATTGCTATGTAAAACTTTCCATTTAAAGTTCATGTCTTTTAAAAAGCTACAGGTAATTTTCAAGGTGTGAAGGAATTTTAATGGAAGCCTTGTGTAAGTTAAATTAAACTGATGAAAGAGTTATTACTTTGTCTATAGTGCATTCAACATTATAATTAGGTTTAAAAATGAAATGTCTGATTTGTAAAATATTTAATGTTATATAAGACTTACATAAAATAAAATTTTCTGTTTGAGAACTAACTCTTAAAATGCATTTGATTTTTAATGAATGTTATGAATGACTTGATGAATTTTTTCTTTTAGTCTGCAGTTTATCTCAATATATTAATAAAAAGGTTTGTTCTCACAATAAGATTTGTGTTTATCATATTTTATTCTTTTAATATACTCATTCTTTCAACAAATGTACAAAAGCCTACGATATCCCCAGATTAGCTAGGTACTGGGAACTAATCATTGAACAAAGAAATGACCCAAACATTGTATGCACATATGAATAAAATAAAAATTAAAAACAAAAACCCCAAACTCTTATGAAGTTTACATCTAGCAAAGAAAATAAATGGCAAGTAAAAACTAGTTACAATTTTGATCAGTGTGCCAAAAAAAATTGCACAGTACAATGAGATAGCATGTGCTAATCTGATGAAGTCATAAAAACTTCATGGAAGTGAAAACAAACTTGTATGATTATAGCATGAAGATCCCAGGGTAGGTGAGAGAAAGCCCATATACAAACCATGGTGATGATACTGATTGAACTTTATCCTGTAGTAATCAAAAAACCTTTTAGATTTTTAAGGGAAGAGTTATGTAAGATTTGGGTTTTTAGGACATTTTAGTAGCCATTTGAAGACTGGTCGACAGAAGTGAATGAAGAAGGATAGGTTATCGTCAAAGGAGATGATCATGATTTGGATCAGCGCAGGAATGTAGATAAGTGGTTTTGAGATATTCAGGAAAAAAAACATTACTTAATTGGTTGGATTTGGAACATATGGTAACAAAAGTTGAATTCTCCAAACATTCGGTTATGAGGGGGTAGAGGAAAATGATGGTAGCTAGAAGAGGATGTGGCATCTATAGAAGGGTCTTATTTTTCAAGTTTTGTTTGTTACATGAGAGACCTTACTAATTTTTTACTCTGATGGAAAGAAACAAGTCAAAACTAAGAGTGAAAGCAGAGAAAAGGAAACTAGTACAAAGTACCTAGTTTATCCAGAGGATCATAGGTTCCTTTGCAAAGATCTAAGGATTATTTTGCTAAGAGACACCACAGCATTCTTTCAAAAAGGAATTCCTTTCAAAAAGGAATGCAAAGGACAGGTTCAGATGCAGACAGATTTGTGGCAGTGGTGCAATGCTACACCTTCCAGTTCCTTGAAATCAGAAGCAGGCGGGAAAAAATGATAAGCAGAGGCTTAGAAAAATGAAGATTATTTGAAGGAATCATATTTCACTGAGTCAACTGGCTAGCAAGAGAAGTTCTGTGGGTTCCAAAGGCAAAATTTTACAGTGTTTAGTTGTGTGAATTTTCCCTAGGCTAACCCAGCAGCACAGAGAAAGTACGTCATGTTGATGGAAAGTTGAGGTAATCAATGGGTTACAGTAGAAAATCTGTGTGGTGTATTACTAAAGATTTTTTGAGCTGGCAGTAATATGCATTGTTTAGTAGATTTTTTCTACTGCTGGTAAGTGGTGCTATAGTTCGGGTCTTAAGTACCTCCCAAAGATCCACGTGGTAAAGCCTTGGTCTCCAGCATGGTGCTGTTGGAAGTTGGTGGGCCTTAGCCTAGCAGGAAGTCTTCAGGTCAACTGGCGGAGAGATGTACCCTCAAAGATTGTGGGACCTGGGTCTTTTTTCCTGTTTTTGGTTTCCTTGCCATGAGGTGAGCAGTTTTGCTCCATCATGCTCCTATACTGTAATGCTGCACCACAGGCCCACAGCAATAGTATCAATCAGTCATGCACAGGAACTTCTAAAACTGAACTTTCCCACAAAAACTTCAATTTTTCCAGGAGAGGCTAAGTTGATTATCTCATGTATTTGTTACAGTGGTTGGTGGAAAGTTGAATGACACAAGTGGCAATGAGTTAGTCTTGCTGAACAGAAATAATGGTTTCAATCAAGAGTTGAAAAAATGTAGATGCAAAAATCATTGTTAGGGAAGAAAACACAGGACAAAAGGTACACATAATTTCTCACACGACCCCACCCTCAAAAAACCCCCATCATTCCTGACTGGTAGGATCATGGTACTAATACAAACATTATTAGGAGAATGTTCTGATTAGGTGAAACAGATTTTTTGCATAAGTTTGTAGAGCTTTTGAGTTAAGGTTGACAGCTAGACAGGTATGTAAAACTATTTAACATCCAGCAAGCAGCTGAAAATGTGAACACAACACATACTAAGGGTGCAGATTCAAAACATCAGTCAAATCAGACAAGCAGGAAACAGCATTAGCTGAAGTTAGGAGACTGGAGTGAATGAGGAACTGAAATGTAGTGCAATGTTCCAGAAGGTAAGACATTGATGGATTTAAATAAGGAAGTGACTTTTCAATATTAGTTTTCAATTTATCTGTCAAGTTCACTTGTAATAATTAAGAGGTCATTTATAGAGCTCTTTAGTTTGCAATTTCATACTCTTTAGAGATAACTGTAGGAAATAAGAATCCAAATCTTTTCACTAAGTCATGGACTAGAATCAATTCCTTTTGCACTCCCACATTTAGGGACTGGAAAGGAAGTTCAGTCATATATTCACATATTTCTCAAGATACACAACTCTGTCTCCAATGAAATGGAGAAAATTTGCAACTAAATCCGTGAATTTCAGTTTTTCCGGGAGAGGCTTAGGCACTTCTCCACTGGGGTGTGATTTTTTGATTGTCACCAAGGAGTTTACTACTGGAGTCTAGGACGTTTAGCAACAGAGATGTTGCTAAACATACGGTAATACACAATGCAGCCCCCTAAAACATAATTCTCTGGTGCAAAGCAGCAGTGCAGAAGTTGAGAACCCTTGGGCTAAGCCTCCTTTTTGCTAAACTTTATCCTACTACCTACAGTAGGCATTTGTTAAATGTACAAACCGAGGCATCAGACAAAAAATACAGGCGCTCCCTAGAAGGCACCGCCACACGTCAAGAGCTGGAGAAGGTAGCCCAAAGTTTGCATATGTCAAAAGCATAAGCTTGACTAAAAGACCCATTCCTCCTGCAGTCTAGATAAGGCAGCCTTGAGCAAAGAGCACTAGATGGCACCCATGGGAAAGTCAAAAACTAGGAAATCGGCCTCAGAACCATAGGGATCTAAGATTTCTAATTACAGGCCATTCTGGTGCGTGCTGCTCGGTTCCTAACACCACCTTCTCAAATTTCTTCATTTACAAGAAAAGGTTTTAAGATAACGAGTGGGGAAAAATTAATGGAATTTATGCGTCCTCTCCGCGTAACAATACCTGTAGCACAAACCCTAGCGGGTGCCTTCGGACGAAACTTAGCGTGCAGCTACTTCACGTGAATCCTGCACCCCACAGTTGCCATCCTCACAAGAATTCTTGCCTTATAAGCCGCCGTCCTCACGACGCGCACAGCGCGCAGGCGCAGGAAGTGGTGGCGGTAACCCGGAGGGGCGGGGCACGTCAGGCCGCCGCCCACGGCAATTTCTGCCCAGTCTCCCCGGAAGTTCCGAATCGTCGGCTGGTTAAGGCGAACAAGTGCTTCCGGGAGCACAGCCGAGGTCATGAATCATGTGACAGCGGGTTGCACTAGAATCTGTCTCTGAAGCTGTAAGTGAACTGCGGTGGAGATATTCAGGCAACCAAGAACCCCAGGTAACTGGCGCCGCTTTGCTTGGTGTTCAGGCTAGGGCCCAGGGCTGAGGCAAGGGGTGAGATGGAAGAGGAGAGGTCGCCATTTCTCTTTAGGCCTAGACCTTTGAGGGCGAGGGTGGAATGGGCGGAGGTACGACATCTCCCAATCTGTTCTGGTGTTGGGAACTCCAACTCCTTCCGCTACGGTGGTGGAGAGCTAGAATCACAAAGTCTTGGCTGACCCTGACCGGTGTTGGTCAGCTCGTTAGGCTGGGGGTGGGGAGGCGAGTAAGCCTGGAAGGGAGAGTCACGGGGATTTTCTCTTCCAGGCGTGGAAGATTGGTCCTGCGTGAGAAAGGGGTTCATCATGGCGGATGTGAGTTGATCCTACACACAAGAGGAAGGGGATTGGGGCAGGGGCAGAGGTTGGAGGAGACTGCTGTGTGGGGAGAAGAGCTTCCCAAGTAGAAAGGTTTCGTTTTTGTTTCCCTACATCCTACTTATTTTCTCAGGGTCTGTACTGAGACTCCAGTATGAGTGGATTTTCAGGGTTCTTTTGAGTTCCTGTCTAGAATTGGTGTGGAAGACCTGAAGGAGCTGGAAACTGATAAAGTTGTATTATTCAACAATACTGTTGAGTCACGAGAGGCTCTGTATTTAGCATTTGAAATTCTAAATGATGGTTTGCTGCCCTTATCAATATGTGGTCAGTAGAGCATGTGCTGTGAGTCCTTTTTATCCAGTAAGTGGTCATAATGTCTCAATTAGATTTATTGTAACAATCTGAAATGGTTCCTAACAGATCCCTCTAAAACAACAAATTCAGTTTGTGTGTGTGTTCAAGATGAGAGCAGGAGTAAGCAAAAGATAGCATGAAATAAAATGATCATTCATCTGGAAAATAGTTGGGATTAGAGATTCAGAACAACAGATACCCGATTCATCTAGGTAGGGGGTCATAATTGATAACTAGTTTGTCAGTGAAATTCCCCAGATGAGAGTGTGTAATGAGACAAAATAGTCTTCTGTATCTTTAGTCCTAACCATGTTCATGTTAAGTACTTGATACACTGTCACTTATCCTTAGTCTTGTGGAGAAACTGAATCTTGGAAAAGTTAATTGACTTGGTCAGCATCATTTGGGTGGCCCAGGCAGGAGGACTGCAAGTGTAAGTACATTATTATGTAGCAAATTCCAGCCCAACCAAGGCTAAATAGAGAGACCCTATCTCAAAAAAAAAAAAAAGTCTGTGGGCATTGGAAGGTTGGAAGGAGTTTACAATGTATTCTCTAGTGACTACATTAGTGACAGGGTGTAAAATATTAAGAAAAGTATGATCTAGTTTCAGAGCTAGTAAGATATTTGTATTTCCCTTTTCCAGTATGCTAATACAATCTTCTCTGAACTTTTTGCGAGTACATACATCTTCTCAATAAGCTTTAGTTAAACAATCTTGTGAAGGTTCTGTGATTATTGCTTTTGAACAAATAATGAAACTGAGGTTTAGAGAAAAAGGTTAATTGCTCCAAGTTACACAACCAGTAAATACCAAAATCCAGAAAGTAAAAGATAAAACACTAGTAAGAAGAGTTACAAATGGTGACTTAAGGTCCCTAAAAGTTGAATAGAGTAGGTGTAGAAAAGCAGAAGGCATATGTAATATGATTTTTTAAATATTCTCTTTCAGGACCTAAAGCGATTCCTGTATAAGAAGTTACCAAGGTAAGAAATTGCTAATTTTTAATTGAATAAATTCTGTATGACGTGTTAGTTTTATGATGTATTTTGTTTCTCTTTTTTGGAATTAATATTTTCGTTTATTATGTTAATTTAGCACTTTCAGATACCTAACGTAACCCTGATGTCCTTTGACTTTGTAGATACATCATAACATGGAGCCTAGAGAAGTTGCATAATTTTTCTAAGGTTAAACAGCTAGTGAATGCCAGACTAAAACTCAGATTTCTTACTACTTTCAAGTTCTTTCTAATATTCTGTCATAGTAGATTACTGCATTATACTTAGGAGTTGTTAACAGTAATTTTAAGGGAAAACAAGAACTTACCTTTACTTTTTCTTTTTGGTGGTACTGGGGGTTGAACTCAAGGCCTTACATTGCCTTTACTTTTAATATTATTTTTAAGACCTAATTGCTGAATCGACATAATCTGAAAACACTAAGCTCAGACAGCAGTTTATACTTGAAAAATTCCAAGGCTTTCTTTTGCCTAAACACAATCCATTTGATGTATCATTTTATAACGGCTCTTGGGTTAATATTTACAGACTTTCACTTACATATTATACTAATTCAGAGGACTTTGTCACTTGAAACTAAAATTCACATTTAGTTTAATGTAAAATGGTGCCTTCTTTGACAAGTGCCGCTTTTGTCTGCACTCACAGCTATTTACAAATAACTCAGAATTCCTGAGAGTTAAGGACATGAGAGAGAGGAATATGACTTGAGACATGCCTCTTCACATTCCAGATAAAGTGCTTCCGAATTAATTGGATAACCTTTGAGGTAATCTAGCAGAATCTATGGTGAGATCTTTATCTCTCAAATCTGAAGTTATAATGGTTAATCAGTTTATTTCTGTAGGTAGGATAAAAGAAAACTTTTTTGGGGTGGTACTGGGATTTGAACAGGGGGCCTTGTGCTTGTTAGACACATGTTCTTCCACTTGAGCCACATCCTCCAGTCCTTTTTGCTTTAGTTATTTTTCAGATAGGGTCTTGTGGTTTTGCCAGGGCTAACCTCAGACGTCATTCCCTCCCAACTAGCGAGGATTACAGGGAAAACCACCTCTTGCTTGGAGTTTTGCTTGAATTATGTGTTGTGGTTCATATGTTAGTATTTATGCTGTTTACAAGTCATAGAAATGGTGGTGGGTGTTTGTTTTTTTTTTTCCCCTCAGTGCTCAGGGCCTCATATGGTAGTCTTTACACTATTTACAAATCATAGGAATTGTGGTGGGTTTTTTTTTTTTTCCTCCCTTTCCCTCAGTGCCCAGGGCCTCAAGTATGCTAGACAAACACTCAACCACTGAGCTACGTACCCAGCCCAGTACTGGGGATTGAACTCACAGCCTTGCACTTCCCAGGCAAGCACTCTGTCACTTGAGCCACTCTACCAGCCTGTTTTCTAGTTTTGATTTATGTGTTATATTTTCATAATGTTTTCAGAAAGAAAGCACTATTGAAGCATTAGATGAAATAATAGTTATCAGCATTTTTATTCTCCTCTTCCTGGTATTGGCAAGCTATATAGGCAAGATGCTAATTCTATTCTCAAACTAATGACCAAGAATACAGGTGGTCATAGCTTTCCACGCTAACCTAGGACTATAAAAACAACCTTAAAAGCTGAAATTGTGTAAAGGAATTTTAGTAATCAGTAGGGAAAATAGCAATTGTTTTATGACCTTTAAATTTTTTTCAAAACATTAAGTCTATCCTTATATCTAGGGAAATGAAAACATGGTATAACTAGTATTTGCTTAGCGCATTAAGAATTAAAGTGTTTTACCTCCCTGCAAAAACCTCAGTGTTTTAAACAATGTTTACCTGCTTCCTCTCACATATCTAAAGAAGCAGACATCAGCTGGGCACCATTGGCTCACATCTGTAATCCTAGCTTCTTTGGAAACTGAGGTTGAGAGGATTTTGGTTTGAGACCAGATTGGGCAAAAAGTTTGTGAGACACCCCTCAGCCCCCCATCCCTGCAATCTTAACCAGTAGCTGGGTGTGGTGGCATGTGCTTGTCATCCCAACCTATATGGGAGTCTGAGTTCAGGATGGTTGCGGTTCAAGGTCAGCACAGATAAAAAAATTTTCAAGATCCTTTCTCTGGAAAACTGGGCGTGATGGTGCACACTTCTCATTAACATCATGAAGCTTAAAATAGGAGGATTGTGTTCCAGGCCAGTCTGGACAAAAAGTAAGACTTATCTCTAAAATAACATCAGCAGAAAAGACTGGTTCAAGTGGTAGAGCACCTGCTTGCAAGTGCGAAGCCCTGAGTTCAAACCACAGCATTGCACAAAAAGGACATCTTTTCTATGCCTTGGTGAATTGTCATACTTCATTTTGGATTATCTTCCCGATTTTATCCTTTCTATATTCAGTGTTGTGAAATGTCTCTTAGATTTCTCTTTCTTTTCCTCTTTTTGGGGGGTGATACTCGGGGCTTCATGCTTCCAAGGTAGGCACTCTACTGCTTGAGCCGCACCTCTAGCCCAGAGATTTTCTTTCTTTCTTTTTTTTTTTTTTTTTTTTTTGGCAGCATTTCATCATAATCACATTCCTTACTTTCCTAATTTACACTAATAAAATTACCTTCACCGATTTCCTCTGGCTGCCTGTTGGAGCAGCTCTGATGTTGAAATGTTCATCAAAAATAGTTGAAAAGTAAATACTATTTCTTCTTTCAATTCTTTTTTTTTTTTTTTTTTTTTGGTGAAACTGGGGTTTAAATTCATGCTTGCAAAGCAGGTGCTCTACTGCTTGAGCCATACTTCCAGTTCAACTTGCTCTGGTTGTTTTGGAGATGGGGGTACCAAAAGTATTTGCTGGGGCTGGCCTTGAACCTTAAGCCTCCCTCTTCCAGCCTCCCAAGTAGCTAGGATTATAGGCGTGATCCTGTATAGCATATGTATTTTCTTAAATTCTGTTAAATGTTGTTGTTGGATTTGTATTTTAAAATCTATTTGTGACCTAAGGAAGTCACAGACTTTAATAATCACACTTTTTTTTTTTTTGGTGGTACTGGAGTTTGAACTCAGGGCCTCATGCTTGCTAGGTAGGTGCTCTACCACTTGAGCTACTCCTCCAGCCCACTAATTATAATTTTTTTCTAAATAACCAAATATTTTGTAATTGTATGAAAAAATTAAGTATGATGTCTTTTGGGAAGAGGAGCAGGGTATTGGGAATTGAACCCAGGGTCTTGTGCATGCTAGCTGCATGCTCAGCACATGCTCTGCTCCTAAGCTACGCCTCCAGCCCAGTGTGATGTCTTTTGTTACTAATGTAACATTTGTGTTTTTAGAATATCAATAGTTACACGTGGTGTTCATGTATATATGGTTGCAAGGAACCATACACATTGAGGAAAAACCACAAATGATCAAGATGCATAGAGTTCAATGCTGTATTACAGGTAGTTGATTGACTTTTTTTTCCCTGTAATGCCACCAGCTGCTAAATACATGTGCTTTTCAACAGGTCTCACATTATCTCTTTAACACTTAAATGTATCAACTTTCACCTTACTTTTTGGGCACAGTTTGCTTCTTGGGAGGAAATTTTACAGAATTAAGGATGGAGAAACATTCAGCTCAGGAATATAAAATTTTGTTTTTGAAATTTCTTTTGATAATTATTTTTGACTGCTGTTGGTTTGAACCATGTTTAATAAATCTGCAAATAAGTCAGGCTTACTGTATTTTAGTATTAGAGTTCTGCAGAATATTCCATATATTTAATTTATTTCTTGTAACAGTGTAGTGTATCCATTAGTGAATCAGTTATTTTGAACTGTTGGTAAATCCTATTCATTTAACTCTGTCCCCTGTGTGTAGAGTTGAAAGCAACTTTTATATTTGTGACCTAATTTCTAAAACTGGGTACTTTAAGACCATAAGTACTTGTTCTACTTTCTTGGACTTGTATCCCTGTGAATTTGTAATCCACTGGAAAAAAAAAAAGGCCTTTTATTTCTGTGTTCTCTTTTGGTGCATTAGTTGCTGTGTTAATTAATTACCATGGAAATTAGAGGAAGAAGCTATTTATGGCATAAATTTTTCTAAACAGTTTTGTAGTTTACTTTTTAAATTATCTTTTGAGTAGGTAATACATTCTTAAAGCTCAAGATTCAGAAGTTAACTGAGGAACATACACTAAAAGGTTTCCATCTCTGCTGTCCAGCCACACAGTTCCCCTGTCAGAAGTATCCATCATTATCTTCAGAGATACTTACATACTTACAAACAAACATGATTATATTTATACACACACACACACACACACACACACTCACTCGTACACTTTTCATTGTATAATGTGTTGCTTCTTTTCACTTTAGAATATAACTTTGAGATCACTTCCTCCATAAAGAACTTCTTCTTTCTTTTTTATGTGCGCAGAATATTCTGTTGTATGTATATATCAAAACTTACTTAACTTGTTCTTTATAAAGGGTTAGAGTTCTTTTTTTTTTTTTTTTTTTTTGTGGTGCTGGGGTTTGAACCTTGGGCCACTCCACCAGCCTTTTTTTTATGATGGGTTTTTATTTTGCTCTGGCTGGCTTCCAATTGTGATCCTCCTGATCTCTGCCTCCTGAGTAGCTAGGATTACAGACAGGGGTTGTCAGTGTCTGGCTAAGAGTTAGATTTCCAATCTCTTCCTATTTTAAGTGATGTTATTGGTAACTGCACAAAGTGGTCTGTTTATATGCAAATGTCTGTAGGATATGTTTTCATATAATCTAGTTTTCAACTTAGAAACATTTTTTATGTATTAATTTAGAAAGCTTCAAACCATAATTTCAAAATTGAGTGAGAATATGAGACAATTCTGATAATAGTATAAAGTTATTTATGTAGTTATTTCATAAGGTGTTATGTGAAAAAATAAAAAAAAATTGTTTCTAACATTTCCACTCAAATTTTAATGACACTTCTCTGACTTAAAAGTTTTGACAATATAATTTAATTTAATTTCAGTAAATAACATTAGTTAATATAAATATTCCTCATTCCTAAATTAAGACATTCAGGCTAACACAATAAGGTATGGATAATTCTGAGTTGTAGTAGAAACATTGCACATGTCTCTTGAGCTGTGCTTTCCAGATATGGTAAGGTAGTGGCAGGACAGTAGGTCTTGTGTCACAGTTAAAAAGGTTTTACATAAGTATTAAAGGTTTGTGAGTTTCACCATTACAATTTGTAGCACATTACTTTGTGTTCTAGCGTGTGTTTTTGGGATGGGAGGGGGAGACTGCAGTTTGAATTCAGGGCTTCATGCTTGCTTTCAAAGCAGGAGCTTTACTCCTTGAGTCACACCTCAGTCCATTTTGCTCTGATTATTCTGGAGATGGGGTCTAGCAAACTGTTTGCCTGGGCTGGACTCAAACCTCGATCTTCCCTATCTCAGCCTCCTAAGTAGGAAGGATTGTAGGCATGAGTCACTGGTGCCCAGACAGTGTGTATTTCTTAATGGCTAATTTCCCAAGTATTTCAACTGTCATGCTTATCTGCACTATAATTTAGTGTTTCAGTTGCAGTGATAAGTTATGTCATTGTCAGTGCACACAATTGATACCACTGGTGTTAATTCATAACTTTATTTTTGAATGTAACTTTCCAGTTTATACTTTACAAGCATTAAGTTTCACAATAACCAAATAAATACAATTATTTTCATTTTCAGATTGTTAGACTGGGACTTAGATTTTGTAACTGACCAAAAGTAGCATAAAAGTAAGAAGCAGAATCTAGAACTCAGGTCTTTCTAACTTCACAGCTCTGGCTTTGACCATTTCTACATACTGCTTATTTAAGTATGGCTAAAAGGATTGCTGCATGCCTTCATTCTTTCTGCCCTGTTGCATCAGCCTGGAAAGACCTTTTATTCTTCTCTAATTCAGTAATGGAGAAGTAATGCTATAACATCTCTCCTGAGATACCACTTCCCAAGGGGAAGCTGCCTCTCACCCACCTGTGTGTATCAATCCTCCCTTTTGTAGGCTCTCATATCCCTATGGATCTCTTAATGGCACTTTGCACAGTTGTGGTCTTACCTTTGCTATTGTGACATTATTTGGTTGATAGCCATTTAGCTTAGATTATAAGCTTTGTGAAGTCAGTGACTTTTTGCTTATCATAGTATCATAAAGTAGAGTGTCATAAATATTAGGCAGTATTGGAGGGTTTTTTGGTCACTGACTTTTTCTACTTTTGCAAACCATGGAATGTTACTACATTAGCAATTGTCTTTTTAATTTGAACATTCAGTTTAACTTAAAACAGGCAGAAGTGCAAACAATTCACAAAAGTTTTTAGAGAAGATGCTTATGTTTAAAACTGACCCCTTTAAAAAAAAGAGTCCTTGCAATTTCTTTGCCCTTACATTAGCAATTTTAATGGAGGATCAGATATTTTAGATTTTTATCAATAAGCTGCATACATTTGTAAGCATTATAAACATGTATACAATGTACATTTGTTCAATTTCTAGAAGAGTTATAAAAGCATAATTTATCAGTCATTGAGATCCCATAGTTTTTCAGAAATGTGCATGAGAATTACCATTATGATTTTGAGGTACATATTTTGAGAAAATGAAATTTTTATAATATTTAACTTTTTTTCTCTTTGTAGTGTTGAAGGACTCCATGCTATTGTTGTGTCAGATAGGGATGGAGTACCTGTTATTAAAGGTAAAGCAGAGTATGTAAATGCAAATGTCATGTTTGCTTTTCCTAAAAATGTGTGTATATCTACACCGGTAGTGCAGAAGACAAATACATCAAACTTACTTTAACAAATTCAGAAAATTGTTTTGGTTTTGGAGGAAATATTTGCTTCTAAAACTTCAGCATGGATTTATTGCAGACATTTGTGTTCCCATTGAAGACAGTTATTCCCATTGAAGACATTTATAGTATAATAAAAACCATTAGTACATCTAGGTGATGAAAGTAAGCATATATAAAGTTTGAAATACATTGAACAGACACCCACGTACATGTTTGTGTGTAGCTATATATGTATATATTTTAAATCAATATTGCAAATAGTTTTAGGATGACATTTATATATTTGGTTCATCTATATATTGATTGTTTTTCTTTTTTTTTTTTTTTTTCTCTTTTTTTTGGTGGGGTTCTAGGGGTTGATCTTAGAACTCAGGGATTTGATCTTGCAAAGCAGTGCTTTGCCAGTTGAGCCAAACCTCTAGTCCTGTTTTGCCTTCTTCCTAGAAGTAGATTTTTAAAGTTTTATCTTTATAATTGCTTTAATCAGAATCTAACAAGTATATACTGTATCACAGTCAGTATGGATTCAGACTATTTTTACTATTTCTCCCTTTTGGTATTATCAGAATGGATTCCTACTTGTACCAACACTAAGTGCTGGGGTTTGAACCCAGGGCTTGTGCAGATGCTAGGCAAGTGCTCTATTGAGTTACATCCCCAGCTCTGATTATTGAACTTCTGATTGAACAATTTTTCACACCTAAATTGATGAGGTGCAATTAGTGTAATAGAGTTTTTGCTATTGTAAAACATAACTGTGCTTAGTTTTTTATGGGCTAAATGTTTACAAAAAAAAAAATAAGATCCTATTAAATGTTCCTCCATCACATTCTAGTGGCTAATGATAACGCTCCAGAGCATGCTTTGCGGCCTGGCTTCTTATCTACTTTTGCCCTGGCAACGGACCAAGGGAGCAAACTTGGACTTTCAAAAAATAAAAGCATCATCTGTTACTATAACACCTACCAGGTAAGTTCATAATTATCAAATAATTTGCTGATTTCAGCTGTCATTTTTGTGTTCTTAAATGAAAAAGGCTTTTCTAATTCTAAGTTAATTTTGAAGGGGATGAAATTTTAAAATTTTAATGTTTAAATTGGTTATGCTAAAACTAGCAATTTTCTTTACATTTCTACACCAGGGAACAATTAGTATGGAAAAGTACTTGTGTACACATGTAAGTAAATGCAAAAATAATTCCTGTTGAAACCACTCCAGGAATCAGGGGACAGGGAGCGATGAAGGAAAATGGTTGAGGAGGTGAATTCATATATGGTATATTTGATATATGGGAAGAACCTGTGTAAATGCCACAATATACCCCCACCCAGCACAATAAAGAAGAAAAAAAAAGATATCAAAATAAAGTACATGTTATGCTAAAAAGTAAGTAGAATCACTGTTAACTCCAGTAGATGGTGCCATTTAAACAACTATGATTTCTCAGTGGACACACTTTTTTTTGTTGTGATAGATACAACATTTTCCTTGAAAGTCATAAGATATTTAAATCTGTTAGTGTTGCTAGTTCTTCCTTTAGTTTGAAGTGCATATATAACAAATGAGGTTTTATTTGTGAGGAAGAAATTACCTTGGATCTCCAGCTACATTTTCTGAAGAAAATGAAATAGCTTTTGCTTTAGAGTGATGTTTTCTGGAGTATCCTTCTATTATAGATACTACATTCTACTGATGACACACATGATTTTTTTAACTTCAAGTTACATATTTTTAACATGTATTAGGAAAAGGAACCAACCTATCTGACTTTTAGTTTTACCAATAGGAATTATATTGTGGTTAAGTTTTTTGAAAGATAGTTAATTTAAATTTAAATTAATTTTAAGTTATAGTAACACACAGAAGGAAGAAAAAAATTGAAGTTAAAACTGTAGTAATTCCCTTATCCTTGTGGATGCCTGTGGATGCCTGAAACTGCAGATAGTGCCAAGTATTAGGGTTTTTTTGGTTTTTTTTTCTGTACTTATAAATTTATGGTAAAGTTTGACTTATAGATTAGGTATAGTAAGAGATTAACAATAACTTGCTATAGATTTTAGCAGCCTCGGCATATGACTTTTTTCTTTTTCATAATAACTTGAGAATTTCACTTAAAGGAAGCTCTTTATGGCTTTCCCTCCCCCCTCCACCTTTGGTAATTCCTGAATTGAAGGTATCACTCCTCTTACATTTTGGGACCATTATTAAGTAACATAAGGGCTTCTGGAATCCAAGCACAGCATACTGTGATAGTCCATCTCTTAACTGAGGCAGCTACTAAGTGTCTAATGTGGTAAGCAGCATATATAGTGTGGATATACAGGAAAAGGGGATGATTCATGTCCCAGGCAGAACAGAGTGAGGATAGCACAATATTTCTCATGCTACTCAGAATGGTATGCAGTTTAAAACTTAGTAACTGTTTACTTCTGCAATTTTTTATTTCATATTTTTGATCCATGGTTGACAGCAGGTAACTGAATTACTACCGTTAGCCATTTAATTATCAGCTGTTATTGAACCTTTATTGTGCAAGTGATATTCACTGAGGCTGAGATTAAAAGATGAGGAAGACATGGCTCCACTTTAAGAGATAATTAATATCTCTGCTTTATGAAAATACTTATTTTCAGCTCCTTCATATTTCACATTGTAATGTCTTTATGTTATGCTAATAACATTGGCCATTTAAAATTTTCTGAAAGAGTAAAAAATTTCAGCTGAGTAATTCTGCATTTTCACAATGTAACATATTATAGGTCTTCATTCTCTTTTTAGGTTGTTCAGTTCAATCGTTTACCTCTGGTAGTGAGTTTCATAGCCAGCAGCAATGCCAACACAGGTGTGTTTTAATTACCTTAAGTATAGCTTTAATTCTTTATATTACCATATTGTGCAGTGTAATGTAATAAGAATAATGGTCTTAGAGTCAGAAAACTTGAATTTGTGGCTTACCTCCACCATTTTTTTCCCCGTGATCTTGGGAAAAAGATTTCTCTTGAGTCCTAATTATATACCTGTATAATTGAACTAATACCTGTTTTCTCCATCTTACGGATTTATTTTCTAGTTCAGATGAGATCTTGGCTGGGGTAATTTTACTGACATGGAGGCCAGATAAATTCAGTGTTATTTTAAGTGCTACATCTTGTTCACATTAAAACAGTTTAAGAAAACAAGTCAGCAGAAAATAACCAAACAAAACACATAAAATGATCAAAGATTATTTCCATGTAGACCAGTCAATTATGTTAAACTTGTTAAGATTTTCAATGATAGAAGACAAGATGAATGTGACTGAGAATTTAGATAATTTGATTAGGAAAAATACATTCCCATTCTTGAGGATTGAAAAATTTGGGAACAAATGCTAGGAAACTGTACTTTCTATGGAGAATAATGTAATCTTATTCTATGCTATACCCTTCACTGGGTGTGTATGTGTACAATGGCAGTATTCAGTTGGATTATAATATACCTGCTCCCTTTGAGATGAAGTAGGATATTTTTTCATTAATTTCCTGTCTCTAATTGCTGTTGAGAGTGGTTATACATTTTCTTCAAGCTGAGCAAGTAGTTCTAGCTCTTATCACTGAAGCTCAGCCTTCAATACCTAATCTTTAAAATGATAGTTGAGATTTGATATGTTGGAACTCTTCTAAAGATTTTGAAGCTGTAAAATAGTATTTGTGAAAACACTATGCAAATTGTATAAGATAGTAGTGGTGTCAGTATTTGAAGTGTGCTAAGCCTGAATTTTGATTAAGCCCTGTCACATACTAAATCATCAGTTGTTATATGCTGTGATAACATTCATACTTATATTTTTATATTTGGAGCCTTTTTTAATATTGTATGAAAGAGGAAGTTCTTTGTTATTTTGAACAAAGAAGAGGCACTAAAATGTATAATCTTCACACAGGTAAACTAAGAAGGAGGTAGATGTGCTAATTTGTAGACCATCTTGTGTCTCAGATACATCAATGAACTTCTTTTTAAACATATTAATGTGTTTTATACTCTGTAACATTCATCTTTAAAGTTCTTTTCATTTGGAATGTACATTTATGTTTTAGCTTTATTGAAATTAAAATAAATTTCTGATTTCCTTTGCTCAATATTGAAGAAAACCTACTACCTCTTTTGATACAATGTTCAAATTGGCTTAGAAAAAGTAAACTTTATTTTGTAAAGATCATGTGTATTAGTTCTGAATCAAGTATGTTTTGAAATAGTAAGATATAAATTAGGATTTTCCCTTCAAAACCCTAACAAATTATAGTACATATAGTTCATTCTGTATCTGTTAATACAGATATGTTTTTCATCCACCTATTTTGTTGTTTTTGTTTTTGTACTGAGGTTTGAACTCAAAAGTTTTGTGCTTGCTAGGCAATCACCCATCTATTTGAATAATATGTTATGGAAATAAACTTTATAATATATTTTTGTGGTATAACTTAGGGCCTCATGCTTGCTAGGCAGATGCTTTACCATTTGAGCCATAAACTTTGTAATGAATACAGTATTTTGGGTTACTTCATACGGAATTACAGTATTTGTTATAGTTACAGGGAATAAACTATTATTTACTTTTTTAGTAACTAAATTTTGCACAAGAATTTTAAGTTAATAACTTTTTAGGAAAGTGTTTTTAACAATCTTAATTTTTAAAATCTCTTTGTTTTAGGATTAATTGTCAGCCTAGAAAAGGAACTTGCTCCATTGTTTGAAGAATTGATAAAAGTTGTGGAAGTTTCTTAATCTGACAGTGGTTTTGACGTGTACCTTGTCTTCATGATAACAATACAATATCAATCTAGCAATCTTTAGGCCACAGTAATACTTTTATTTATCCACATACTTAAGAAAGGGCCCCCTTTCCCACCTATACTAAAGAAACAGCCTATAGGTATAATTTATAGACAAATGAATTACAATTTACTTTGTAAGATCTTTTATTTAGTGAGATCTGGAGATACCACAAAAAATGATCTGGACTATCGCAGCTCCCATGGAGTTAGTGCAGTCACCAGATACGAATGCAATTCTATGCAGATCAGAATCAAAATGGTGCATTGATCAACCTAGTGCTCACTATTGTACAGTACTCCAGGCCTGCAAGATGCAGCAGATCCTTCTTATTGTGAATAATAATGGGACAGATTTTTCCTCTTGATTATATTTTATAATCAAGGAGATAAAATGGGTTAGTAAAAGTAATCAGTACAATCACTAACTTTTATTTGTATATATTACTTTGCAGTGTAGGTGAATAGTACTAATGGATTCTTCTCAGAGGGTGCTGCTCTTTAATGAAAGGAAAATTATAGCTTATGGTATTTCCACTCTGCTTTCTGTAACCAATCAGTGTTCTAATGATTGTGTGTTCTTTGTAAAATTTAAATGACTCAATGTTGAATTCTGTTTCCAATATCAGTGTGTATGTAAACATTATAGTATAGCCATTTTCATATATGAATATAAATAAAGTATTTTTAAAAATATAATTCGAATACCATGTAGATCTTTTTTTCAGATCTCTTTCAAAAAGTTTAATGGACATAATTGGCTTAATTCACTTTTTCAACTGTATTAATAAATAGTGACTGTTTTTTGTTTTTTATGGTGGGACTGGTTTGAACTAAGGGCACTTGCAAAGCAGGTGCATCCTATTGCTTGGAACCACACCTCCAGTCCATTTTGCTCTGGTTATTTTGGAGTTGGAGTTTCATGTACTGTTTGCCCAGGCTGACCTTGAACCTTGATCTTCCTGATCTCAGCCTCTAAAGTAGCTAGGATTACAGTTGTAAGCCACCAGTGCCCAGCTCTGAATGTTTCTTATAGATACTGATTTGGAGATTGTTTTTTCACTAATATAAACTGTCACTTAAAACATAAACCTCACCCGTGAGCCTAATTTAATCTCCATGAAAGAGGGGTCTCAGTTCTAGAATATGCCCTTTTCGGTTCAGGGATGAGTCCATCATTCAAGTTGTTAAATTCCTCCTACCTTCTTTGACAACCAGCTAGTCACGGGTGCAATTCAATATGTGTACATTGAGCACCTTCTGTGTACCAGAGCTGTAACAGTTTGGCAGTGTGATCATTGTTCACTTCATCTTTCTGTGTCTTGAGTGTTGCTTTTCACATGGAATATTTTATTAGATTTATTATAAGGAATTGGTTTATGTGGTTGCCAGGAACATGCCAGAGGCTGGAAAGTCTCAGCTGAGGCTTCAGTGGAGGATCATGGTCCAGGACAGCCTGGGCATAAAGCAAAAGTCTATCTCAAAAGTAACCAATGGAAAAACTGTTGGTGTGACTTAAGCAGTAGAGCACCTGCCCACCAAGCATAAGGATCTGATTCAACCTCCCTGCCCCACCAAAAAAAAAAGGAAGAAAGAAACAGCTTGAAGTCATGGCCAGATAGTCTCAATCCATAGTGAGCACAGTGGGTTCATGTTTGGCATTGTGCTGTGTGGTGTCCTTGACTAGAAGGAGTTTGAAGACATGTTTTGCTGCAGCTGATCTGAAGAATGGAAGGGGAGTAGGATTAATGTTCACCCTATGGCACTTATCTGCCTGAACCAGGAACACTAAATGCCCAGTGCCCACGATGTGCTGTGTGGGTCAGAATAGAGGGGCTTGCCCCTCTGAGTATCCTGAGCCCAGTGGTTCTGGCATGGGGGCAGCTTTCAGTACTGTCCTTCCCCTCCCCAGGGGCCTCTGCTACACACAGGGAACATTGCATTGCACTTGGTTTTCCCAGAGGAGTTCTGAGAATAGCTGCTAATACTTTGGTTGTGACTTAAGGGTACTTCTTTTATGGTGAACATATGCCAGTAATAGGCAGGGCCTGACAGGGGTACCTTACTTGCTGTTCTCTCACTCTGATCTGCCATTGGCCACATTTATACTTGGAGAGAGAAATAGACAAGGGTCCCACACCAGGTTCTGCTCAGGAGGTAGAAACACAACCTCTTTGCTGGACTGCTGAGAATGGGCAAAGCTTGTAGCCTGGTCCCCAGTTCAAGGTGGGTACATGTTAGCTCTGCCTTTTCATGTCAAACCTTCCAACAAAGGGTTTTGTCCCCTGCTAGAGTGTGCTCTCCATCGTATAGCTTTGTGCCCCTCTAATAATTTCTCTTAATTACTTCTATATGTTATCATATATGTGCTTACTGTCTTTTCCATATTCAACTAAGAACTCCTGGAGGTCTGGGACTAATTCCCCAACTTCTAAGTCTTTGTGGCTCCCAGTCCAACTGAAGTATTACTATTTCTGACATTCATCACTTATATTTCTTATAAATACTAAAAATATTTTAATAGCAAAATAGCATGTGTGCAACAAAATCAGGCTGTTTTTATTTAATAAACAGAACCAAAGAATATAAATAAACATGTTTTACAGAAAGTAAAAACAACATTACCTACACAAAGATAAGTCATTGTTTCTTAGAAAGCAAAACATAAAACAATACATCTCAAGAGGATTCATTTGTAACAACTTTGCAAACTTGACACAATATATTTTAACTTTATTTCATGGAATACAAACATAATACATTAAAAACCTGTTTTTCTTTTTTTTCTTTTGCAGTTCTGGGAATTGAACCCAACATATTGTACATGCTGGTTAAGTGCTCTTCCACTGAGCCACATCCTCCCAGCTGAAAAGCCTTGTTGAAATATACAAAAATGTAATGATTTCTGAGTCTTAGTTGTTTAATTAATAGAAGGACTGTTTTTAGCAAGGTATTTGTGATGGTTAATCTTAACTGTCCACTTGATTGGATTGAGAGACACCTAGGAGATTAGTAAAGCACACCTCCATGTTTGTGTTTCTAGAGATTTATGATGTAATGGATGATTGAATCCATTGATTGATTCAAAATTGGAATAGGCTATTGGGAGATGGAGGGACTGAAAGGTGGTGCTCAGTTGGAGAAGGTAAGGCACTGGGTGGCTGTATCTTGTTCTGGTCCCTTCCTGTTACTGCACCACTTGGCTTACATCCACCATGAGGTAAGCTTCTCCACCATGTCCTCCCTGCCCTATGAAACCATGACCTAAAGTAAATAATTCCTCCCTTTAAATTGTTCTCTCAGGTATTTTGGTCACAGTGACCAAAAAAAGCACAGCATTCCTGCATTCCTTTGAACTTCAAGAACGGTGTTACATCATAGCTTTGCACCATAATTGTTTTATTTTCTGGCTCTACATCCATTTTTGTTTCCCTTCAAACTTCTGTCTTGAAAAGCAGTACCAATATAGATAATAGAAGAGGTTAGAATCTGCTTTTGAACTCTGGACACCAGTATTTCATTCCCATTTCAATCCTCTTCTAGTTTACAATAGCTGTGCAATGTATTATTACATATTTCATGTAGATTTAGTGTTGCTCCCTCCACTGGCACTGAAGCTGCTCTTTAATAAGGTAGGTACATTGTGCTCACGGGGTTAACCCTAGATAGCTAATCCTGGAGAAGGGGTTGTTACAACACACTCTTTGAGATACCTCTTTAAGTCCATTTGGAGATAAAACTTAGTGCTTACAAGTGCTCTATTATTATTACATTCATTATTAAACTAAGTATTATCTACTTTTTTATTACCCTTCCTAAACTTCTTTTCTCATTTTTTAAGACATTTCCACCAAAGTGGTTTTCAGATGCCTTAGATTGTATATTCATTTACCTTGATTGTCCTATCTAATTGAGTTTTATCATTACAAGTTAAGGACAACTAGATCTCTAAGCCTTTTAAAAAGAGAAATACAGCAAACATTTTCCATTTTAGTTTTGGAAACTTTTTTTTTTTTTGGCTTTTATATAGAAACAAACAACCCCTCATCAAAAATCTTTGATGTGCGTTATATCAATATACTTCAGAAAGAAACAGTCTGAATCTCCCAAGTAAGGACTTGGAGACACAACCTGGAGTTCACTTGTGCTGACCATGACTCAGAGCCAGACTTCAGGCAGCTAATGTCAACAAGCTTGGGCCACCTGAATGAAAACAAAAACTTTTTGTCTTGTGCATTGTGTTCTGAGTGTGAGCAAACCTGGGAGTGGTGGTTAATCAGTTTCCATCAGAAGAACATGGCATTCTCAAGGAGACAGCGGTCAACTTCTTGCAAGAGCAGCTGTTTCCCATGAGTTAGCAAATGCAGTATATGGGTCTCGATCAATAACTTTTTGATTGTTTTCCAAGAAAAATCCATAGTGAGCTTTTGTCTGAAGCCTGCTATGGATCACAGCATCCAAGTGCATCCCACTTTGCCTCTGAGCCGGGGCCCTCCTTAGCAAAAAGGGTCTATTGAAAGATGAACGACCGAGATCGGACTGTGCCTTCCCCTTGCTCAAGCTGTTTTCTTATTTGTGACTGTAATAAAACACATGTGAACCTATTATTGAGATATTTTAAGGTAATGAACTCTGAAATATTTAAGACATGCTGATTAGTAAGGAAGCCATGCAACTGTAAATAAATTATTCTGCCCCTACCCCATGTTTAAATCTGGTTTTCTGCATTTTCCTCAGGAGATATTGCAGTGTTTGCTAAAACATGTACAATTTGGGAATTGACCTCATACTTAAAGTAAGCCATCAAATGCAATACTATTGAATCAAAAGGAAGAAATAGATCTGAAATTGTTGATTTAAAAAGATCTGTTTTGAAATATTCACAAGAAATCTGAACATGTGTATATTTGATATGTTCTTTAATTTTTTTATAATTAGGTGTCAGATGAATAATTACAAGAGATAAATTAATTAGATCATATCTGAGCAAAGGTTTCATACAGAAAAATTTCCTTACTGAAAATCACATACATTAGAACAAGCTCAAAATGAGTGGTGTATTAATTTGGATTTTATACTAAAAAGATTACCAAAAACAAGAGTCCAGTATTTAGAAAAGGATATTCAACAAGATTCTCAGGGTTTTTTGTTTTGTTTTGTTTTCTTGCAGAAGAGGCAAGGGGCTGTGGATTGAACCCAGGGCCTCCTGCCAGTGAGCTTTGCATCTAATTATCCATTTTGAGGAAACACCTACAGATCAGATAATTTCACCAAAAAAAAAAATCTTCAGGGTTTCAAGATGGTATATTATGGTTTGGATATGCTTAAGTGGGATATGCAAAGGTCCACAGTTTAAGACTTGGTCCTGAGGATGGTGGCCTTTAAGAGGTAGGGGTTAATGGGAGGTCTTTTGGTCATTGGGGCAATGCCCTGGGAAGGGAATATTGGTCTGAATGTGGGTTTTTATAAAAGCCTGAGCCTGACCCCTGAGTTATTCTCTGGCTTCCTGTTTGACAATGTAATTTTTTTCCATCTCACATATTCCCACCATGTGTTCCACAATGAGGTCCTCATCAGAGTTGAGCTCATGTCAGTGCTATGCCTGTGAACCTCCAAAACTATCAGTTAAATAAAACTTTTTTCTTCATAAGTAGCATGCCTCATATATTCTATTACAGCAACAAAAGTGGGCCAGTGCATGCTATTTATAGAAAGTTTTAGTAAACTTTAAGGATAAGTCCGTGGCTCACAACCCACCAAGTTGCAACACATGCAAAAAATGTACAACACTGCTGTATTTTTAAAACCACTGGTGCTGCATGCTCTGGAAACAGCCAAGTTCCTCCTGCAAGCTTCCTCCTCTCACAGTTTAAAAGGCTTTCAACTAGAGAAATATGTCACTTTCCCTCTGTGAGACCTTCTGATCCCAAATGTCCTCCTCCAGACAACAGAACTAACCTGCACACCTTAAAGGAAAACTGGCAGATGCCGGTGCACAAGGCTAAGGCCTTGGGGCTGAGACCTGAAATACAGCTCCACTTTCTTTTTACGGCCCTGCCTCTGTCTCTTTTCATGCCCCAACGAATGCAAGGACTGTTCCACAAGCCTGCAACTAGATTTCTCTTTGATTATTGGGGGATATTCTAACGCAACAGGAATATATGTGAAATCAACATGTTACTTCTCAGAAGACTTATGACTCACCAGTTTCCATCGCAATATCTTGATCCATTCATCAGCTTCTACTCCTGTCTTTGCACAGAGATAAAATGTTCTGAATGGAAATACTAAGCTGATAAGACAAAAGAAAGATACCCCAGATGGTTAGTTCTATACATATTAGTTGAACATGAATTAAGGTATTCCAAGGGGAAAAAAAGAAATAATAAGGGTGCTGAATAAACAGTGACTTGAGGAATTGTTATATGCAGAACTATTCCTGCCAGCAAACTGCAGAAATACCTAGGAAGTTATAGATTCATATTATAACAGGCGAGATCTATATTCTCTAATGAGATTTCAAAGAAGAAACACCATGTCCAGGACTCCCAGGAACCCTTAGTTGTGTTTGTCGTAGGTGGAATGCAACAATGTGTTTTCTCATCTGAGCTCTCAAATGTTTCAGAACCTGTGCTGTGATACAAAGAATAAGCAAGACAGATTAAGAGAGTGTGTGGAAAGAACTCATTTATGTTAGCTTGCTTTAAGGAGGACAACTGCTTCCTGTAGATGCAGGCAGTTTCAACTATGTAGGACAGGAAAAGGGGACAGCACATTTCTGGCCATGAGTTAGTCTCTACTGGAAAGAAAAGTAACTTTCCTTCTGGCACAAAAGACTTTTTCTGGATGTATGGTAATTCTTCATTTCAGTGTCTCTACATACATATGACAATCAGCCCTAATTTATACCTTGCTATTCTTTTTATATATGTACAGTTGAGATGTGAAATACTGAAAATATTTTCTTTCCTAAAAAAAAAAACGAACTGAAATTCAGAAGTGTTTCTACTACCCTGAAGCCTAGGAAGCATGTTTTGCACATACCAGTCATTAATGGTGAATAGGTAAGCTATTGAAAGTAAGACCTTGATGTAAGACACTATTAGTTACCCACTCATTCTTTTTCCTTTCTTCTTGCTTTCAGAACCCCAGGCAATAAATCTTAACTAGTTTAACCCAATTATGTTTATGCTATCACTACTTTCTAGCCTTCCATGCTGCTAACAGTAGTTATGACACCCAGTCATGGCCAATGAGATAGGGGGAAGCCTCAAGGGAAATCAGTTCCCAGGGAATCTTTGACTTTCCTGATAAAAATGAACAGATATGTCTGATACCATTCCTGTATCTTTCTTTGTGGCAAAAAAAAAAAAGAAAAGAAAAAAACATAAGGCATAAAGCTGTGAAGTTGGAGTGGCAACTTGAATTGGAAATAGCCATCTTGAGGAAAGGACAAGAAAACAACATGGAACCTGACCTTGTCATTGTAACTAGCCTGTCTCCTGAGTTCTTGTTACATGAGGAAAATAAACCTCTGCAAGCTCATATGGTACCTTTGGTTGAGTTTTAAAAAGTTACCCACTGTTGGTTAATGTTAGAGAATTGCTGTTGGTGTCTTCACGTGTAATAATGACACTGCAGTTCTAGAGATAATATTTTTATTGTTAAGCCATACATACTCAAGATTTAGGGTAAAATGCCATGATTGTGGCAATTTACTTTCAGATGATTCAGAAAATGAGTGAGTACATAGAGCTAAAGCAAATATTGCAAGTTATTGAAGCATGTGGTGAAGGGTTGTAGGGTATATGTCTTTCAGCCCATATGTGATTCAGAAACTTGAAAATAAAAGTTGGTAGGCAAGATAACACTCCTTCCATTCTCAAGACACTTTATTTCCCCCAGTTAGGAATTTCTCAATTACACTGATCATATTAGAACAAAAATACTTTGCAGCCATCAACCAAATGTTGGCATAACAACTTAAATCACCCATCACTGGGATCAAAAAAATTATAATTAGAACGAGGGAAAAAACCTCAAAGAAATGAAACTAAGATATAAATGGCAGAATGTGTGTTGTCATTATACAGTGCACAGCCTAAGCCCAGCCTCTTTATCTAAACCACTTCAAATGAGGTATTGTGTCACAGACAACTGAAAGCACTCCTAATGAACACACCCTGTGTGGTATTTCAATCCATGCCCCTCAGATACAATCATTTGTAGGCATTAAGACATATGTGTGTTTATACTTAGTCTGGCAAGACTTTTAAAAACATTTCTTTTATGAAAACAACTTACCAAAAACAGTTTACCCTTTCCTGTGAGTAATCAAATTGTACAGCTGAACATTCTGTTAGGTCTAGGATCCGAATTGGTTCTGGTGACTTAAAAGAAAAAGAAAAATCAACTTTTGTCATAAAAATAAGCACACAAATCTGTCCATTTATTCCTCCTAAGAAGGTTTCCACTATGTGCAACTGTCAAAAGAAAAATTTCATTGCCCTAAGCAGTGAATTATGTGCTATGAAGTGCCACACATTAGCCAGTTGAAGAGAGCCACTTCTGGGGCACACATCTATCACTCTGCTCACTCATATCAGGAATCAAGAACTTATGCCTCTAGTCATTTACTATTTCAGGTGGACATAAGGAAGATTTCAGGGATTTTAAAGGTAGATGTTCCTTTCATCTACAGAGATGATTTTTAAAGGGAAAATGTATTATTGTGTTTCTCACCATCTGGTCTTTGAAGTATTTCAGTTCATTCCTGTGCAAAGTGAACCATCGTGTTTTCCAGGTCTAAGATAGAAAATAAAAACATAAGTTTTTGAATGCAGGAATGCAATAGCTGAACTGGATGATTTATTGTCATTTTTAAAATATCTGAAAGAAGATAAAGTAAGCCTTAAAAAGTATTCCTTTGAGCCAGGCCCCTGTGGCTCATGCCTGTAATCCTAGCTACTCAGGAGGCAGAGATCAGGAGGATCGCGGTTCGAAGCCAGCCCAGGAAAATAGTTCACAAGGCCCTATCTCGAAAAACCTGTCACAAAAATAGGACTGGTGGAGTGGCTCAAGGTGAAGGCCCTGAATTCAAGCCCCAGTACTGGGGGAAAAAATGAAAAAGGTATTCCTTTGTGTCATTTCTGAGAAAAAATAATATCTACAAAAATTTAAGTGATTCCATGCATTAAGCAATCTCATTCTAGAAATATCATTAGCTTATTTAAACAAGTAAAAAGAGACAGCCTAGCAAATGTTTAGGGTGATTTATAACAATTCACTCAAGTTTCTATTTTATTGCTTCATAATGAAAATGGATAAGAGTTTTGAGCAACTGCTGGGAGCTACATACTATCCTTGGAAACTAATTTATATATTCTTGAAAATTTATTTATATATAATTTGTATTTACACATATATATAACATATATTATAGCAATTATATATGTTGTTATAACATATATTAAACAACGCCAGATATACTACTTTTGTCCTACAAATAAGCCAATTGAGAACAGTTCAGCCTGCTGTCACATTCTTATATACCAACTGAACCCTGATCTGTTCTGGGTGGCAATATATCATATTAAAAAAGCACATAGTAGTAAAAAATAAATATGCAGGCTAGACATAGTGGTACAGGTCTGTAATCCCAGCACTCAGGAGGCTGAGGCAGAAGGATCTCAGATTTGAGGAAAGCCCAGGCTACATAGCAAGACCCTGTCTCAAAAAACAGATTTCAGCTGGGTGCTGGTGGCTTATGCCTATAATCCTAGCTACTTCAGGAGGCAGAGATCAGGAAGGCAGCCCAGGCAAATAGTTCAAGAGACCCAATCTAGATAAAACCCTTCACAAAAAAAGGATTGGTGGAGTGGCTCAAGGTGCAGGCTCTGAGTTCAAGCCCCAGTACTGCAAAAAAATTTTTTAAATGATACAAATATGAATATTCCCTTTCCTCAGGGGCATCCAGTCTAGTAGGGACACAAATAACTAAATGTTTAGGTTAGATTCAAGCAAGCCAGCACCCATGAGAGAGGTTAAGTTCCCTGACTCCTAAAACAGGAGAGAGCAGACCTATTCCATGACAGGGCTTATGGCACACTGAAATGAAATAGAAGAGCTTTAAAGTTACAATCACATTTATGAGGAAGGGAGGGGCAATGTGTCACACTGGACTTGTAAAGTCCTAAATTGTTTTACTTTGGGATTTTATAACATAGTTTTATGAATGTCGGTGATGTTTTGGCCTATCTTTTGGCAAACATTTGATAAAATTTTAATTTTTTTTAAAAAGGGAAGAACAGAAATGTTCTAGAATTAACTTACTACCTTTATTCTCAATCGTTCCACTAAAAAGATGACATGTCTTCTTGAATATTTACTGTGGGCTACTCTCAGAGCTTTGCCAAAGAATAATAAAGTCATTTTGCAGAATTTTGACTAATAATCAGTCATAAAAGATAAACTGTTGAAATGAGTAAATATTGTGAGTCAAAATGAGTTGGCAATTAAGCTTTTTAAAAAAGACAGTCAAGATGAGAATTGAGTCTACACGACATGTTCTCTTTCTTTGTGGCTGGCATGAGCAAAACCATACTTCCTTACCTTGACCAAGCCCCCCTGCTTGGTGAGGTAGCCTTCTTTGGTGCCCAGCTGAAAAAGAAAGAAGCCTTAAGTGAATTCAGAACTGTCACACATGATGTCTGTGTTTGTATTACTGACCTATTTTATTTTTATTGTTTTGTGGTCCTGAGGATTGCTTATGGTAGGCAAGCACTTTATTATCACTGACCTACATTTCCCAGTCCTTCTGTGCTATTTTATAAAGAACAAGTTTGCTTTTGATCTTTACATGGTCATCTTTTATTCTTCACATAGGCAATTGAAACTTCAATCTCCTGTGAGAGGCTGTGTACTGACTAGATCATCTGATGTACTTCCACAGCAATAAGCAATGATGGAGAGGCTCTCTACTAACTCAAGTTAAAATTCGCAAACAAGAAACTACATCATCCCACTTTTAGAAAGTCCGTGTTTGTTAAAGTGCACCATGTTAACCACAGCAACCTATGTTGTTGCAGGGTGTTTGCACAGAAACATGCACATACCATCTATACTCAATACCACAGGTACAGAAGCACACACACTGTCTATGATCAATACTGTAGTTGCCCCCCGCCCCCCCTACCCACCAGTTGGGCATCTTCAGATTCAATCAACAATGGATTGAAAATATTTGAGAAAAATCACATCTGTACTGAGCATGTGCAGACTTTTTACTTATTATTCCTTAAACAATACAGTCATACAGTGTTTTACATAGTATTTGCATAGCATTAGGTATTATAAGCAATCTAGAGATGTTTCAGAATATAAGGGAGTGTAAGTATATGTTATATGCAAACACTGTGCCATTTTATATAAGGGACTTGGGCATCTGAGGAAACTAGTGTCTGTGTGGGGGCTTGAAATCATCCCCCACAGATACTGTACATTTGGAAAACCATACTTTTTTTTAAAAGTAAAGGATTTCTTTGGAGCTTCCTGGAGTCTGTATGATGCTAATATGCTTTGTAAAATTTTAAGAGGGAATCTTACAACAACATTTCCAATATTTATCATATAATCTTCCTTCCACCTTCATGCTCTCCTTTTTTCCCACAGGCCAATTCTTTTATTTTTTTCCCTTCTTTTGGTGCATGGGATATGAACTTGGGGTCTTGTGCTTTCTAGGCAGCCACTCTACCACCTGAACCACACATCTCGCCCCACAGGCCAATTCCTAGGACTCATTCCATGGGATGGATATTCAGACATGTAGATTTATTTACACCTGATTTGTTCAAAAAGGATTTGAAGCATGAACGAGTCATTTCTTTATTCTTATTAATTCAAAAGCCACAGCAACACCACATATTTACTTAGCACCTATGAAATATAAATAATTGTAGGGAATGGTGTGAGAAATCTGCTAAGAAAAGGACTCCAAGATCAAGAAATTTATAATAGCACAAATTTCTGAAAAAAATAAATTCCTGGTAGGATATTTTCTTCTAATATGATCTCACAATATGTCTATATTAGTAAGAAAATGAATAAAAACTGGGAAATGACTTGGTTGACGTCAAGGTTCTTTTTTTTAATGGGAGTTTCCAGAGAATTTTTCCCTGAGGTGAATTCTCCCTACCAAGTAAAAAGAGGAACAACAACCACAGCTGTACAAAAAATTAAAACAAGAAATTATATACAACCACTTTAAAATTCTTATGGCATAGAGCCAGGTGTAGTAATGTACAGTTATACTCCTAGCATTGGTAAGTCTGAGGCAGGAAGATGAAGAGTTCAATGCCAGCTAAGGCTACAGAGTGAGACCCTGTTTCAAGGAAAATTTTTACAGCATAAAAGTAAGAATGAACTTCCAGGTGTTTGTTTAAACAATGTTAAGCAATATTGGTGAGCTTGACATCACAAAATCAATTTGATTTATTTTGATGTTAATGAAATTAAACTGACCAAGTTGACCCCGACCAGAATTGACCATGCCAGCACCCTGATGGTGGACATTCAGCCTCCAGAACTGCAAAACTTTTTAAACAAACAAACAAACAACAACGACAACAACAAAAAACCAAAACATGAAACAAGAAAACCCAAAAAATGACTGAGTTGAGTTTAGGTATTATATGATAAAAAAGGCAAAATTACCATTTTGGTTGTATATACAGATCAAATAACTAAGGATAAACTGTTCTATGAAAAACCCTGATAGAATTATTTTCTGAAATCAAGTTAAGGAATAGTGGTACTCATCATCCAACCCCACCCAAATAATGTATTATGTATTAGTGCTTTTATGATTTTGATATGTAGAAGAGTGCACACGGAAGAACTGAGAATATTAATTGTATCTAGAGTCTCAAGATATAAGACACGGGGTAATTATATAACAGATTTATCTTTTAAAACATTATGGTTTGTAATAAGAAAGATGTTTGTAAGAGCCCAAAGTTGGAAACAACCTAAAGGCTTAACACTACATGTTAGCCCTCCTGTCCACCTGCTTCCTTGCCTTAGCGCTATCAGGCAGGGTGAAGCAAAGCAGGCATCTGTGTGAGTGTGTAGCGGGAGTTCTGAAACTGCCAGTGCAGTTTCAGAAACAAGTTGGCAAGATGGACATCTCCAGTGACAGTAAGAATGGTTGTGGCCTGGAAGTGAATGTTGGAACATGAGTTGGGTGATCAGGGTAGAGGGGTAGGTGATAGCAGTGTGGAATGCTTACATCCAATTGATTATTATTTAAGGAAATCTAGTAAGAATAACGGGATCCATATTCCTCACTGTGGAAGAAGGGTGTTAAAAATACAAAAAGGGAAAAGCTAGAATGAGCCTCGTAGTATCGGATGAGGATTAGAGGTATTGGTGTGAACCCGTGGAGGGATGAGTGAATGGATGACAAGCAGGTAAGTGGATACAGACATGAAAGGATGTGTGGGTATATGTAGATGAGTGCGTATTTCCCGAGCCCTGATTACTGAGTGGTGGAGACAATGACATCCCAATAAAAACAAGCATGTACTGCTCAGAGGTTGATTTCTAAAGTAGAGGAAAAGGAGGAGGAGGAGAAGGAGGAGAAAAACGTTTCTTGAAGAAAGCTCATTTCAGTGCTGGGCATAAGGAAATTTCAAGGTAAGTCTGGAACATCTTTCTAGATCAGTAAGAAAGCATTTTGAAGCCATCTAGACACTAAAGTCACCTTGAAAGGTAGCCAAATCTGGGAAATTTTGAAGGATCAAAATAAATAATGATAGTCACAATTGTAACACATTGATATAAAAATAAATACCTGATAAATGTGGAAAATAAAAATCTTTTTCTTACAGGTGAGTGACAACCAATAAATACAAAAAGAACAAGCGAATCAGAGACTCACCATTCGGCAGCAATCATAGTAATGATTGAAACAGGCAAGAAGCATCAATATTGGTGGATAAAATTTCAATGATAGGATATTAACATAGTCTCCAATAGCCTCCTCCAAATTATTATTAGCAACCAAGAGAATAAAGTGACTTTAAAGTGAAGAAACCTTGCAGATACCACTTAGGTTAGCAACATACCCCACCGTGGCAAACTGAAATCCTGCTTTATCAGAGAGGACACAGTGAGAAGTGAAAGCAATCCTCTTGCAGTACTGCTACTAAAAAGTAAAAATCAAACCCCAAATCTGATCATAACTCAATGTCACACAAACAAAAATTGAGGAATAAAATGACCTTTAATTTTCAAAAATGACCAAGATATGAAGTCAAGGAAAAGCTGAGAAGGTTTTCTGAAGTGTATGCAAGAGAAAGACAAGTAAGTGCAATTAAATCCTCTTGTTCTATAAAACCTTATGGAGAAAACTGGTGAAACCTGAATAAGATCTGTGAATAAGATGATGGTGACATCATGTCAAGGTTAACTTCCTAATTCAAATGGCTCTGTGTGGCCACATAGGCAAATGTTCTTGCTTACAGGAAGCATACACTGAAGTACTCAAGACTGATGGGGCATCAGGTAAGCAACTTTCTCTCAAATGGCTCAGGAAAAACAAAATTCTTTGTACTATCCCTGCACTTAGTATGTAAATTTGGAACCATTTAAAATTAAAAAAATGCAAGAACATAATAGATGATTTACTAAATAAATTGGTATACCCAAATAACGTAATATTAAGAAATATGCTTAATGGCACGTTAGAAAATTGTGCAATAACATGGAAGATGTTCACAATATTTAATTTAATTGGCAGATCTATAACTGCAATAAAAAAACTCACTATACACACACACATACATACACACACACACACACACACACACACACACACACACACACACACACATATAGAAGGAAAACACCAAAATGTTAAACATGAGAAGTGTTTCAAAGACAAAACACTGGAAAATGCCAACAGGCAAGGGAGATGGCCAAGAAGAGGAACTATAAAATGAGTCATAGATCACAGAATATAGAAAGATGTTTCAGAAGCAAGGGGAACAGTTTTTTGAAGGACAGAGTTAACTTTTTATTATGTCAAATACCACAAAAGGGAAGCTAAGGAGGTTAACATTTTCAGTAAGACCTAGTCTATGTCAGGAATTTGAAATATCTTACCTCACTGAATCTCTAGCAATATAACTACTCAATATTTCACATTTAATGTAACCAAAATGGAATTCCTCATTCCAATCCCCCAAAACCCATACCTCCCGAAATCTTAGCCATCTCAATGAGTGACAGGACTATCTGCTCTGTTGCTCTTTCCTTCATGCTTCACTTTGCAACTATCAGTCTATTTTATCTCTTCTACCTTTAAGCATGTCCTGAAGTTGGCCAGATCTTATCCCTTTACTGAATTTTAACTGCCAGTTTTTATCTCCCTTCCCCAGGTTTAAGACCTTCTCTTAACTAAACTGTTGTAATAACTGCCTAACAGGTCTTCTTGCCCCCGTTTTAGCTCCCACTCCACTTACCACTTAGCAGTGAGAGGAATTGTTTTCAAATTTTAAAAACTTCAATAAATTAGGTTAAGTAAAACTCATTATGTTTCATCAACGCATGGAACAAAAACTCTTTGCTTTGTGCTACAAGACTTTTTGTATTATGTCAAGGAGGTACAATTGACATTAATAGGCACAATTCCTCATGTATTGCACGATAGTTTCCATGACCCTGCCCTCTGTTAGGAAAGAATTCACTACAGGTCTTTTGTGTTTTTGAATAGCTCACAACTAAAGCACTAACAGCCCAGTGTTACGGAACAGTTTTTAAAACACGTTTATACAGCAAACAACTTTGGAAGATACAAATAGTGTCTTCCTTCAGACGAAAAGGCAGACGTGTTTAGTGCCTGTTATAGAAGATTTGTTTCCCTAAGACTCAGGGCTCCTCTCCTGTAACACAACCAACTTTGTGTTACAGACCACTTTGTCCTTTTATTTAACTTTTCTATTATTTAATTAAGTTTTGGGTTTTTGAGATAGGGTCTCACTATGGAGGTCAAGATACAGTCCATAGCCTTGAACTAACCATCTTCCTGCCTCAGCCTCCTGAGTGCTGGAATTACAGGCTTGGGCCACAGCACCTGGTTTCACTGGAGCCAGCACAAATACCAATATTCTGGTGGCTGCTACTGGTGAGTAACAAGCTATCCTTTGTCTCTAACCCAGAAATATCCTGTCATCCATGAGACTGTGTCAGGTCAACTTGCTAGCTTGCAAGTTAGGGAGAGAGCTCAGACTCTTCAGAGTTCTTGGCACTAGTAGTGTTCCAAAGTATTGTGACGACTACAACAATCTCATACATTTTCAAACACTCAGCTGGGAGCGATTGTTCTCTGAGAATTCCATGGCCTTGTAATCTCGCCTTTCCCCACTTTCTCTTTAGTTTACTACATCTATGACCCCCCTTTTTTTTTTAAGCAATACTGGGGTTTGAACTCAGGACTTCATGCTTACTAGGCAGGTACTCTACTGCTTGAGCCACACCTCCAGTCCTTTTTGCTGTGGTTATTTTGGAGACAGGGTCTCAATTTTTATCTAGGCAGGCCTGAACCATGAGCCCCCTGTTTCAAGCTACTTGCCATAACTGGGATACAGGTGCATACTATAACACCCAGCTGTTTTTCCACTGACACACCATCTCACAAACTTTACTTACTGTATTTATTTATTTTCCAGGCTAGCCTTGAACTGTGATTCTTCTGATTTCAGCACCAAAGTGGCTAGGATTACAGGTGTGAGCCTCCAGTGCCTGGCTCCATGACTTTCTTGCTGATCTTTGAAGTCCCTCAGTGGAGTTCCCACCTTGGGATTCTGTACTGCTTTCTCTGCATGAAACACCCTTTCCCACACCTTCATATGATTGCTCCATCCTTTCAGGGACATCTCTGCTTAAATGTGACCACATCAGAGAGACCTCCCTGGCTTCCCTACTCTCCCCTTACCCTACCCTTTTCTTTTTGTGATGTATTGCTTCCTGGTGTTATAATAGTGTGGTTATTATTGTCTGTGACGCTCACTAGTATGGGAACTCAATGAAGGAAGGACCTTTGCCTGATTTGCTGTCAAACCCCTAGTGCTTAGTGCTAGATGTATAATAGGCATTTGTAAGTTTTTGCTTAATAAGTGAATTAATCAAATTTAATCTTATCCCAGGAACACAATGTTTTGTTGATGACCAAACATAAATAGTAATTTCCCCAAATGCAGTTGCTAAAGGATGTTAAACAGTTTTATACAGCATTTACATTTCTGGGCAATGGGACATCTTTTATTTTTGCTTCAAGGAAGTTCTTTTTCCTATAAATAGGATTTTATTCTCTTCCTCCACTGACAGGGCTTATACAAGAAAGCAGAAGTATGAAACCCTCAGAGCACTCAGGTTGGTGATAGAGATGCAGCAACATGTGGCTGTTTAAGGTAGTCAGTAACCCTTGTGTTCAGTAAGGGATAAACGCCCCAATCAAACCAGAACTCTCTCTGTCATGCTGCTCCAGCCATCAGAGATTCCATAGTGAGGAGTAATGAGAGATATTTCAGAACTCACTAGAAAGCTGTTATAGTTTTTTTTGTCTGTGTTATTGCACAATAAACTTTGTGGGACGCTTACTATAAAGTGTCAATTAATTATCCACCAAACATCCTCCACTATATTTTTTAAAAAACTACACTATATAGAACCCTTTCTGTACTGTAGTATTTAAATACTTGGGCAGGTGAATCTACCTGGTTTTAGAAGTGAGCAAAGAAAGTAAGCCACATGGCTTCCATAATTAAGTCTAAAAATGGCCTATTTATATACATCTCATGTTCACACCAACCCTACAAATTAGGTGTTATTTGCATTTTACTGTTGATAAAAGATACACACAGGGTATGAGGGTATGGTTTGATAGACCTTGAATGCAGATCTTTAGAAGTGAAACAGAAGAAAATGTGAAGTTAAACTGAAAGTGGAAAAGAAAGAGATGCTGCAGTGACTGGAAGTTAAAGGATGGGCACACAGGAAATTATGAAACTATGTTGACTTGAAAACAAGAACTATGGAACATCAGTCTTGATCTGGTCATTGGTCTCTTCTGACTTTGGCCAGAATTTCTCCAGTTCTGAGGTCTGATGCTTCCTCTCCCAACTCTAACAAAGCCAAAATATATTTCTCAAAGAAAAACATATTTTCTTTTTGAGATGTAGTATAATAAAGAAAGAGTAAGATGAGCTATGAACTGGACTAGGATATAAAGCCACAAAGACAAGCTATGATTCCTGTCCTTAGAAGTGTTAGGTTGGTGGGGAGTGAGACAGTTATGCAGGTAGTTAGCTTATGGCATGATAATTATGGGATACAGGTAAACAGTGCTCTCCGGAGCATGGAAGAGGGGCATTTACAAAGAAGCTGGTGGGATCAGGGAAAGCTTCCTGGGAGGTGATGTCCCAGATACTAGTCCTGAGGAGGGATGAGTGAATAGCAATAAATTCAGATACAGGACGGGAAGAAGGAACAACTTAGAGAAACGCACGTCATTGAGAGAAGTAGATTGCATTGCATGAGTGTAGGAATAGCATGACATGAGGCCAAAGGGGCAAGGAGGGTCCAGACAGGCCATGAAGACTGTGGGTAACACTGAAGGATGTTTGACAGGATGGCAATCTGGTAATCTGCTTTTTAAGACAGATTTTTTTCTACTCTGGTGGCAGAGTAGAAAAGAGTGCCTCAGAGACAGAAAGCTCACACCTGTCGTTAACATTGATTTATACCTGCTAGTTATTATTTTTCAAGTTTAATGAAATTGCTATTCAGAATTAGTTCTTGATATTTGATTTGGGTATTGTCATCTTTATCATCTGCACGAATACAGATTCTTTATACTAAGAGTATTTAGCTCACAAGAAAGAAACAGAAAGTAGAGAATCCCTGAGAATAATGAAGGGAAGGGAGTGCTGGAGAGGGCTCCGAAGAGTCACAGTTCACAGAACAAACATAAATGCACTTTTGGAGGAACAATGAGTGCTCTAACTGCACAGCAACTGAATAAATGGCTCACCTTACAAAGAGATGCAGATGTTTTCTATCTGTATGCTTCAGTCAGTGAAGGAAAAAAAAAGGCCAGGAAAAATAATACCTCAAGCTTTTACAGTAAAGCCAGAGAATACTTTTTTCCCATGAGGGGTTGAAATGTCAAATTCTTTTTTTCTAAATTTAAGAAGTTTGTTGAAGAATAAGTGTTTAGTCAATGAGGCAAATGTATCTCTCACCTATTCTACCATGAACTTGTTTGGCAATCTAGAGACAGATTTAAGTGACATTTTCTAAGCTTTAAAGATCCTGTCCTTAAAAACATTGTGTGTGCGTGTGTGTGTGTTGTGTGTGCGTCGCTGGGGATCAAACTAGGGCTGTGATCTTCAAGACCTTACTCATAGCAGGCAAGCACTCTACCACTGAGCTACATTTTGCAACCCTGGACCAGATGAACAAAGTCAGAGCCTTCAAATATTATATTTTTTCCAAGTTTTACATCCCAAGCTAGAATTTTTATGTGAACAAATAGACTTTAACTCATATTGCACTTGATGGCTTTCAAACAGGGTGAAAGAGCTCATGGTCAGATTGCTGATCACTTACAGAAGGTGCAGTGGGCACAAGGTCATTTTCCGTTCTTCCTGTCTGCATTGCTGTGTGAACCCGCACAGATTCATAAATGGAAGGTTCTTCCACTCTTCTTGGATATGGGTGTTTCAGAACAATCAGAGTGCCTGGAGGACAAGAGTATGTAAAATCAAATAGTATCCCCAGAAGGAAGATCCAAAAGTTATCTGGACAACTGTGGCTGGATTATAGACCCTCTTGTTTTCTTGTAGATTCACTTGTTCACCTGTACAGAATTCATGGAGTACCCATCATGTGCCTGTCACTTAAGCTGGACATCGAAACAAAGCACGATATAGATGATTTTTGGCCTCCTAGTGCTCAGACTTAGTGATGGAGGTAATCATTTAAATGAGCAGGGTGATAAGACTGTTAGTAGCTATGTGAATAAAGCAGAATGATGGCACTGAAGAACCTTTCCTGGAATATTCAGGAAGTTGACATTTGGTGTAGACTTTAAGCAATAACTAGACCTCAATCCAAGTGGGCTTTACAAAAGTCACTGAAGCAATACTACACAAATGCACTGGGGCTTAGGAGAATCTATTCCATTGGTTTCTTTATTACCAGTTTCAGGAGCAACTTGTAACAAATCAGAGGATCTTAAAAAAGTATCCTCAAAGCCCTTCCTCACTCTCTCTTACACATCATTAACTAAGTAAACTAAATTTTTGCTTTTCTTAAGTAAGCATGATATGTGTAGGTTGAAGCTCATTTGAAAATGCCTCCACTTCCATCTGGAAGAGGGGGCTCAGCCCCCAGGGACTGAGCCCTGAGTGCTTGGGGCCTTCAATGAGAGACTTAGAGGATTTCTGACTCAACACTTCTGGCATTTTCCCTTCTGCAACCTTCCCCCAGTTAATCAGTCAATCAGAGACTAAAAACTTGCAAAGAAAGTAAACTAAAGGTTTTTCTTTCCCTTGCTATTTAACTAAGGTCTTTTTGATGGCAGGTCCATCCAGCATTGTACTAGATGTGGAGGAGATGTAAAGCCAGTGGCTCATGCCTGTCATCTCACATCTGTCATCCTAGCTACTTGGGAGGCTGAGATCAGGAAGATCACTATTCCGAAGTCAGCCTGCACAAAAGAGTTTTCAAGACCCCATCTCAACAACAAAAAGCTGGGCATGGTGGCATGTGCCTGTCATTCAAGCTGTGGAGGTAAATATAAAAGGATCACAGAAAGCAAGTCCCTATCTTCAAAATAACCAGAGGCACAGCTCAAATGGTAGAGCATTTGCCTAGCAAGTGTAAAGCCCTGAGTTCAAACCCCATTACTGCCAAAAAAAAAAAAGTAAAACCAAAACAAAAAAACCAATCAGGTTGGTCAGGTGAGGTGGCCTGTAATCTTAGCTGCTTGAAAGGTGGAGATGGGTGTAGGGGGGGGACAGAAGTGCAAGACCAGCCTGGGCAAAATGTTAGCAAAACCTCATTTAATCGATAAGTCAGACATAGCAGTAGTACATGCCTGTCATTTCAGCTACTAGGATGGCATAGGTAAGAGGATTGCTGTCCAACACAAGAAAATAACTAAAGCACAAAGAACGGGAGCATGGTTCAAGAGACAGAGTGCCTGCTTAGTAAGTGTGAGGCCCAAAGATCAAACCCCAGGAGGAGGAGCAAGGAGAGGGAGAGGAGGGAGGAGGAGGATTCAGTTATTTATTCAACAAATATTTATTCTGCTCTGCTCTGTGCCAGGCACTCATCCTGGCACTGACAGTACAATAGCAAACATAACTACCTACTGTTATTGAGCTTACATTCTAGGTCAGGGGACCAGAAAAACAATGGAAAAAGTTATGAGAAGTGCTTGAAAAAATGAATAGAACAGGGTTAAGTGGAGAGAAGGTGAAAAGGGTGTGCTCAGAAGAGGGTGATATTTTCCATAGGTGGTCATCTTTGAAAAGATGATTTGAAAGATTACAGAAAGTAGAGACACAGAACTGGGGGGAGAGAGAGAGACAACAATGAAAGAAAGAAACCTCCTTAGTGATTGAAAATGCTTAGCAATGATAAACCTGCACAAAATAACATTTTACAATACTTGAGTATGTACAGTATCTAACTGCAAAAACAGACCTGTAGTTTCAGAGACCTGGGCCCAGGTAAAATGTGCTAGTGTAAAATGAAAAGGGGTGTTGAGAAAAAGAGGATCTCTTATCTCAGCCTCAGAGAAGAGTGAGAACCCCAGGCCTATCTTCTTTGTGCATCCCATTCACGTCAATAGCATTGGAATCACAATGAAAAATGGTTTGGGCCATTAAATGAGGCCCCAGTTCTTCTGTGGCAGTTATCTGTTCTCTTCTTTGTCAATGCAACTCTTCCTGAGAACACATCCAGTCATACAAGGAGAAGGGGCTGGTGACAGTTTCCCAGTCAGAATGAAAGCAGCAACATGTAAATCAAGAGCAGCTGTAGTGCAGGCTTAGGAGCTGTGCGAACACTTCTCACCACTGCAGATGCTGAGTGATCTCAGGGCTAGATCCTATGTGTCCTACCCCAGGGAAACTCCCCCAGTAGTAAGCTGAGAAGTCACCCTGACATTGTGGAAGAGCCCTATCTCAAAACAAATAAACAACAATGAATGAGGCTAGATTGAATTTTGGACTGAAAAAACTTAATAAACTACTCACAAGGAAGTAATTTCCACTGATAAAAATCTAGTCTCATAAAAGAAAGGGTCACCTTAGCTGACCGTTCTTACCAACATATAGATTTCTTGGCATGGTGGCTAGTTTTAACAATGACTCTTCCTGTACAGTCTATAGACATAAATTCCCCCTTCTCTCTATAGAACAACCAGGCCCCTGGCCCTCTCCCACAAACACCTAACTTGGACCACACTATTCACTACCTAGGTATCCTTCTCTGAGTCAAGGTTCACTTACATGAAGAAGTGTGTGAACTACAAGAAGAAGACCATTGTTTCCAGCCTTTGATGTGAAGTTTCAGAAACGCTCTATGGAGGTATACTTTTGAGATGAGCAGAGCTAGGCCAAGGCAGCCATTTGAATTTACTAAAAGTTTCAGAGTTGCCATTATTACTGAGCTGATTTTTTATTGTCTCTTGGATGGTGAGCTTGCCCTTAAATTCTGGGAGGATATATTAATATCTTTCTGAAAAATTCCACTCTTCTTCCTATACTCCACTCCCTTTTTTTGTTGTTGTTTTAAATTTAGCTAACGAGAGTTGGTGCTCTCTATTTGAAATTTAAAAATCTTATCTAATGTAGCCACTATAGACTCATAATTTCCACCAAAATCCAAGATACTAGTACCTGAGTTCCATAGGAGAGGAACTCTGGGTTAGTTATTTAGACCAAATGAACTGCAGAACTTGGATGGAAGATTCAAACAAATGGCAACAGGAGGCAAGGGATGGGAGAAGAAGAGGGAGGAAAATCAGCAACCACAAACCTTGGAAACTTGGCTGCGAGTTTCATTTCAGTTTGTGAACTGCATGAATGTAACTGTTGTTTCCTGCCTTTGACATGAAGCCTGGTTTTATACATGCTGGGTGGTGGTACAATTTTCAGATGATCAGAGCTGGACCAAGGCAGGCATTTCAATTTGCCCTTGGCTGAATGATAACTTTCAGTTGTTTGTAAGAAATTCATCTGTAACTCAACGTGCAACAATATGAAATTGTGTTAAAGCTGAAATTCAGAAACAGATTAGGACAGTCTCAAGCTTCAGGCACTGTTTTGGTATCTTCAATAGAGTACACACATACTTCCTAAATATTTATTTAAATATTTCTAATGTAAAGTTAGGCCTTTCTTGTCAGGTTTACCAACTAGACTGAAAGGTAGTCAAGGGCAAGAATGATATCTGATTCATCTTTCTATGTTATCAGTGGATAGCGGTGTGCATCTCATGACTGGCACTCAATACATATTTGTTGAATTATATTAAAATAAGGTCACATCTATCCATGTTTTATTACTGTTCTCAGGTTCAGAAAGCAAGCTTTACATTTAGCATAATGGGTTCTTCTGTCTCCAGCCAACTGGAAGTGGTCTTCTAAGGGATTCTATAGGAATAGTCAACATATTTGCTATCTGCCTTTGTAAATGAATTTAACCCATGATCATTTTTACATCTAAAGGGGCTTAAATACTCCATTTTTAGTCTCACAGAGAGAAATATACAGAGGAAGAGGAAGTAGATCATCAAAGGCAGGAGAAGATTCTGGTTAAATATCCAAGTCAAGTCAGGTCATTATTTTCAGAGTGGTTTCCTTTTGAGTCTACCATTTATATGAATTTACTATGGGACTGAGTTAAAATCTGAGAAGGACATTACAAACATTTGATAAACACAAATTCATTTGTCTTTAAGCTAATACTTCATAATATACCAAAGAAGTTAGCCTTGCTTCTGATGGAATTAATCACCACCAAAAGCTCTGTTAAGTAACAGTCATAAATGAAGGAATATGTATGCTATGTCAAGAATCATTCTAAATGTCTTTCATGCCTAACATCGTTCAATCTTCAATGAGATAGGAAGCTCAGTTGTAGACAATTATGAAATTGAAGCTTACAGAGAGGTTACATAACTTCCTTGAGGACAAAATGGCAGGTGCTGGAGTTGAACAGGGAATTTATGTGTTCACTCATTATATCATAGTTATTTTCAGCCTCAGGTGTCACTGCCATGAAAAAGTGTACAGCATGTGAAATGTTGTACTCTTGTGTGGGCACAGTTAATGCATATAAATCAAAGTTTGAGGATATAGTGTAATCTTTAGGAGGCAGCTTGTGAAACAGAGATGTGAGTTTTTGCCTTTTTATCACCAGGCCTCAGTTTCTTCATTTGTAAAGGAGAAATTAAATGGCCCAAATTCTAACGTTCTGTAAATCTCATTAAACATACGGGCCCAAATGAAGAAGAAAGAACACCAGGAAGGTTTGCAACCAAATGCGTGTTCTGCTTCCTGTATCTGTACAATGTGTACTTGAAAGACTTTGCTCTTGTATCACTTTTCTCCTGCCTCCCATTCTCCTTGTCCTCTGTTTTCTCACTCATACTTTAAGTTATATTTTATCTTATTGTATTTACATAGCTGTTTAATATCCTTTCTGGAGAAACATGACTAAGTTGAGCCTAAGTTTACATACTAATGAGAAGAGAAAGATATTTTAAAAAAATAAGTGAATTATACAGTATGGTAGAAGTTGCAAGGCCATGGGGAAGAGGGACAAATGAGTGCATTGTACATCCCTTATTATGTACTTGGGAAATTATTGGGTTTTGAAGTTAGAAGCATCTTAATAATGTTTATTGGTATTAATATGGAGAAATTAGAGCAACCTAAATCTTTAAAGGAGATTAGATAGATCATATGCAGATTTTAACAAGTGGAAGGGGAAATTATAATAGAAAGAACCTTTCAAGTTGGCAGGAGGATTAGATCTTATTTAGGAAACAGTTCTTCAGATTAGGAGATAGAAACCCTGACAGTTTATTCTAACAGGAATAAGAGAGGGAAAAGCCATTTAAAAATAATATTTATCCATTTAGGTCAGCACTCTCACCTATCTCAAGGCAAAGATTTTCTTATTATCCAGAATCAAGTATTTTAAGTTTTACTCTCTTGAAGGTATATAATTGTAAAACAAAAGTACAAGGTTTGTTATTTGAGCATCATCTCTGTCGCCCTCAGAAGTAATGCCGTTCCTGCCAAGAGATGAAAGTGTCTCTTTCAGGAGTGGTCTGAAACACCTAATATTTGTCCTCATTCTGGGAGTCTGGAAGTGAGAGTTTTGGCAGGGCCTTGTCCATTTGTGTGAGCAAATGGGTGTTCAAATGCCTGGTGATCTCAATCAAACATAAACCATAAGAAGGATTTGTACTTCCTTTCATGGTGCTCAAGAAGTCCTCAGGCTGGCGGTTTCCTGATCCCTGGGAGCCAATGTCAAAAGCCAATTTTTAAATGAACAAGGAGAAAAGACCTATTTTTAGAAGATGGCATCCCAGTTTCCATTCCAAATTCTTCATGGGCTACAGTGGTGACTCTGTGACTTTTGAGGATCTTCTGGACTTTAAAGTCATTGTGACTTCAGCAAGCTATCTTGTTTCCTGAGGCCTTTACTCCCACAGGGGATAGATTGGAACACTCATCTGTCATGAGTTTTGTCCCTTGTTCCCAGCCTTGGCAGCTTTGCCTTCATCTGGCTGGCTAGATAAGAGGAATAGAGTTAGCAGAATTGAACTCAAGGACTTGAAGCCAGCAAGTCAAGTATACATCCATCAGCACCAGGGGCTTGAAGCAGGGGTTCAATTAGCAGGAAATTCTTTATTGGATAATGAATAGAAAGAGGAGAGTCAGTGGACAGGATAACAATCTTAGTCTCCTGTGTTTTGTGTAATAAATAAAATAATAATTGTAACAGTAATAATGTATTGCAAGTGTTAGCTTAGGAGAGACTACTATAGATGGCTTAGTTAGAAATTCTTATAATGCCTAATGCATTAATCATAAACCTTCTTTAGTCAGAATCATGTATTTATAGGGAAGACAATGCATGCTGTTGCATTGTCCCAAGTGCAACAAGGTGCCTTTATTTTGGAGCAGTCTAGGTGATCCTCTTGCTTAGTGATTGGGTCAGTATGGGAAGGGTTCAGCCAGAAAGCACTGCATTCACTTCAATCTCTAACTGCTTGGAAATCTGCCAGCAGGAGGAACATGTACTTTTCCCTAACTTAGAGAAGATCCAGGAAGGAGCACAGAGAATGATCGAAGGGATTGAAATCCAAGTCTAGGACCAGAGTTTGAGAGGAAGTAGATGAATCTGAAGAGAAGACAAAATGGTAACTACAGTGGTCTTGAAGGCCTCACAGTTCCTGCGCACAATCATCCATTCATCTAATTATTCATTCACTTGAAGCACCTGGACTAGACAGGACCTGGGAGATATGAAGAAGAATAAGAATAGAAGTAGTTAAAACAAAGCCCTGGCTTCGAAAATCTCTCCATTTCCAGTGTCCAAGAATTGAGCAAAATTAAGTAGGAAATAAGCCTGAAGTGAAGAGATTTGAGAAACTGAAATGCTTGCCAAGGCCCAGGCAGCAACACAAATAAATAAACCCCACTTGCCATTTGTTTATCAGAACTGCTGGTTAACTGGTGAAGTAATTTTCAGGGCTGATTAGGAGAATTTCCACCAGAAAGAAGATTATAGCTTTAACTGTGTAGTTTAGAATATTCTATCCTAAACCTGCTGTTGCTGGTATAAAGAGAAACAACTGTTTTGTGGTTCCATTGTGCTTTTCATCTGTTGTAGACACTGTATGATTCATATTAGGCTCTATCCAGGCCACATAAATAGTAGAAAAGGCAGAAGTCAATGATGGCATCTCTTCCCTCCACACTGGTTAGCAGAAAGGTGACTGGCAAGTTTAGCAAGAAAACACATATGTGCAGGTTCCTGGAAACAGGCTGTATTTTAAATCTTAAGTTTCTCTTGTGCTACAGGTTCTTGGAAATTGTCAACCTTTGATGAAATGAGATTTATCAGCACTTAGAACAAATAAATTTGTGATTCTGTATTACAAACATAAGGGTGACTTTTTACTTTCTTTAAATAGTATAGATAAACCGGATGATTCCTATATCAGGGTTGTGTGTATTGTAGTTCTGATCTATAATGTTCCTCAAAGGCCCACATGTTAAAGGCTTGGTCCCAGCTTGGCCCTGTGAGGAGGTGGCAGAATAGGGCCTAGTGGAAAGAAGTTAGGTATTGCAAGTATACCCTTGAAGGAGATCTTGAACCCCAGTTCGTCCTCTTCATTGATTTGTTTCCTGCCTGCATGAAGTGAGCAGCTTCCTCAGGACTACTCAAGAAGCTCTTTGCCATGACAACCACAGAGTTAAGCAACAATGGATTGAATCCTTTGCAACCATGAGCCAAAATAAAGCCTGTCTTCCTTATAAGTTAGTTTACCTTAGGTATTTGTTACAGTGACAGAAAGTGACTAAGAGAATGTGTTTTCATGAGTTTTTTTTTTTTTTTTTTGCTGTTTGTTTGTTTATTTTTATTAGCAGTGCTGGATTTGAACTCAGGCCTTACTAGGCAGGTACTCTACAACTTGAACACACCTGCAGCCCTATTTTTTGTATTTTTAACATAAATTTCCTTGTTTGACTCTCTACTCAAATAGGACATTTCAACTCTTCCAGCCATACCTAAGACCAGTTTAAAAATGCATAAGAAACTAAGACAATGGAAATATAATTTTATTACTCAAGAAAACAATTTTCAATCAGTATTTTCATTGTTCTATGGATAGATAAGTATGAACTTAATTTTTTTAAATGCTCAAATTTAAGTTCCATGGGTGTCACCAACATGCAAACTGCCTATACCTGAAATTACAAAGAATCAAAAAGTCTTGGCCTTGCTAGTCATTTGTTTGCTATACGTATTACTCTAAAAGAGGGTGTTTTAAAGAAATTGTGTGCTTTGAAACAATTTGTAATCAATCCATTAAATAGCACATTTTGAGAAAATATTTATTTTATACATTGTTTTCTTCTAAAGTAATGCTGCAATATATAATATATATATATATAGAACATATTAATGTAGGATGTGAAACAACAATAAGAAAATTATTTTTAAAACCTGTAATTGCATAACATACACACAAATTTTAACAGCAGTGACAATTATGAAATTCATTGAAATTTGCCATGGTTCTCCAACCTGAAACAACATCCCACAGGTCAAATAATTGTTTATAGCTTATGTTATGGTTCAAAGACAGTTTGTCCCTTTCAAAACTTCATAACACGTAGTGCCCAGGATCCAGCAAGAAGTCACCAGATTCTAAGCAAATGTGATACCACTTTCATAGACTTTCAGAACCATGAACTAAATAAACTTCTTTTTAAATCCTAGATATTGAGTCCTAGATATTCAGTTGTATCAAAGGAAAATAGACTAAGACAGCTTACCCGTTTCACTTCCAATCAAAGGCTGGTTTGCAAAATGCTTGACAAAATCCTTTAAAGATGAGTATTCATTAAAGCCAAATTTAAATGAATATCCAGTATATTCAACATGAAAGTGTTTGACAGAGTCTTTGGCTCTGGAAGGGAAAAAGAAGTGTTCAATGTTATTTAACAAATGAGTATCTTTTCCTGAAGGCAAATACAGTCATAAATATTAGCTTCACCATTAAACTTTTCAAAGAACTGAGAATATGTACTTACTGAAATCACCGACAACTTTAAAGAGCATCACTAATTTCTTTTAAACTTCTTACTCTACTGAAGACAAGAGACAATTCTTGGACTTAGAAAAAGAGTTCTTGAATTTTAACACTGTTACAGGGCATGAGTTTAAGAAGGGCAGGGAACAGAGATGAAAGAAATGGTGTGTAATATCTTCACCACGTACTCTGTTGTTGGGCCTCCTCCCTTGTGTGTTTGGTAGTCATCCTGGGTTCTGCTTCTGTCAGTTAGCTGTGGGAGCCCACCCTTTTTTCCTTTCTTCCCTGTCTTACTCCCTACTGAATAAAATATCAAATTTCTCATTTTGCATTTTCTACTTCATTTTTTTTGGTGGTGCTGGAGCTTGAACTCAGGGCCTTGCACTTGCTAGGCAGATGCTCTACCACTTAAGCCACTCTACCAGTCCTCCACTTCATTCTTGAAATAAAGTAGAATATAAAATAAAATACACCTCCTTGCACTTTGTTCCCTCCTATCATTTTAGCCCCATTCCCATCATACAGCCCATACTCTTTTGGCATAAATAGGGTCACCTGCGTGGCTTGTTAAAACCCACCACAGACTCTGATCCAGTAGGCCCACAGTGGACACTTAGAATGTATGTTCTAACATGTTCTCAATTGATGCTGCTGGGCTGGGGTTCATACCTTCTGAACCTTTGTCCAACTAGATATACTTTTCTTCCAAGAGTTTCCACCTCTGCCCCTTTGCTCATGCTGTTCCTTTCGTTGCAATCTCTTCCCCTTTTTTTCTGCTGGTAGAAATTCTAGCTACCCATTGAGTTTCACTTTAAATGCCACATCTTCTTTCAAGCATTACATGATAATTCCAGCATAAGCTGGGTGCCTTTTCTCTTCTCAACCACCCAAACAATTATCTTGCTCTTTTTAATGTTATTTTCTGTACTTTGTAGTAAGTTTGGGGTCTTACTAGCCCTATGAGACTGTATGTCCTGAAAAAATGCTTTTGAGTCTTCTATATCACTTATTAATGTAGTAGGTGTAGAATGAATGCTTTGAAATATTTGTTATTAAGGGAAAGAATGAATAAATGAATAGTCATCTTCATGAATGGCACACTGTCGTCTTTGTGTGGTTTTTTCCCCTTGTTTTCTTTTTTTTAAATAGTATTCCCAAGTACCTATAATGGAAACCAATGATTTACATTTTAATTTTTCATGAAGATGAAATATATGCCATCTATTCATAAGGAACTTATAATCTAACTGTTCAGATGAGACGTACACAGGTGAAAAGTTAATTAACACTTTGACCCAATAATTCCACATGTGTGTGTTTGAGACTCAGAAGATCCATGGTATAAAGAAATTGCAGCATAACCATCTGATGAACTTGTAACATCACTGTCAATTAGAGAAAGCGCAAATCTTGCTGTCACCCAAATAGAAGTTCATCTTGGATTAATGATATCTCCATCTCCTTTATTCAGAAAATTCATAAACAAAATATGGTAGGGTAACATGACAACATTAATGAATGTGCTTTTTTCTTTTTCCTTCTCTCTTTATCTAATTTGCCCCATCACTCTTTATCTATTTCCTCCTCCCCTCTTCAAGTAGGTACCTGCAGACTCATTGTCAAGGGCTGGCTCCAAATTCAAGTCCCTGAAGTACATATACCTTGTTCCAATTATTCAATCAAAACCTACTCTAGATGCAGCTGTGAAGGGACTTTGAAAATCACTAAGGTTTCAAATCAGTCTCTTCTAAGGTAAAATTATCATATGATAATCATATGAGCTCTGTGAAACAGAATGTTCTGTGCTCAGAGAAGAGGAAATCACAAAGACCATGTTTTGGCTGGCCAGGAAGACAGTAAATAGCCACACTACAAACTGCCTATAGAGGCCATATGGCATAAAACTTCAGTGGCCTCTATCAGTTGACATTGGTCCCCGAAAGACAGCTAAAAGAAAAATGGGGGCCTCAGTTAAAAGAATTAAAAAGAATAAAAAATGTGGAGAGCAGATTATAAGGCATCTATGAAAACTAGACATAGACACAGCTCAATAGTTTTTCCTAAATGTTTGTCTGTAGGCAGAGATTGGTACGGCCCTGGCCATGGAGGAGGGAAATGCAGAATAGCTGCTTCTCCTAAACTGTTTATGTTCAGAGAAGCAGGAACACAGGTTTCTCTTGTCACAATGTCACGCCCCTCCCTGAGAACCACTGCTCCACCCTGTTTACCACTGGATATAAAAGACTCACTGGAGGAGGACACAAGGCTTTTGTTTTGGGAGCTTTTTGCTTGAGGATTTTGCTTTTGGGCTTTTGGCTTTTTGGTGTGGGAGACTTTTGGAAGGGGAAAAAATTGCTGAAGAGAAAAGAATTGCAATAGGGAAATTGCTAAAGGGGAGTTGCTAAAGAGGGGTTATAGAAAGCCTACACCGAGAACTTTATACATGGGCTTTAGAAAAGCTGAGCTAAAGAAAAGCCAAAGAGAACATGGGACAGTGCAAGTCAAAGACGTTAAGAGTTATGCATATGCAGTTTTTAGGTGTGCTGTTGTTTGCAAGTCTGAGCACCGAGGCTTTAAGAAAGCTAAAGAGAGGGCATGGGACAGTGCAAGTCTGAGGGCAAAGACTTTAAGAGAGATTATGCTAAAGAAAAGCTAGGAGAAAACATGGGACAGAGCGAGTGTAAGAAAAGAGGTTTTAAAAAATAGCAAAGCGAGGTTTTAAAGAAGACTTTAGAAGCAAGGATTTAAAGAACTGTAAGGGGGTAAGGCCTTAAAGAATAAAGATAGAGAAAAGAAGAAAAGTAAATGAAGAGAATAATAGAGAAAAGAAGCAATGAGAGTTGTGTGTCTCCACCTGAGTGGGCAACACACCTGGCCCTAACTTTCTAGTGAGAGAAAGCTTGCTCCAGCAAGGGAGCGAGGGAAAGAAGGGAATGGAAGAAAGGATACTGAGCTCCAGATATGAGTCACAGCCTCAGCCAACACCTTTATTTTATCTTGGTAGGACCCTGAACAGAAAATCCAGCCATGTCAGGTTTGAACTTCTGACAGTCAGAAACTGTGAGATGGTCAGAAACATGGTTTTTCAGCCTCTAATTTTTTTCAGTAATTTGTTATGTAGCATAGAAGATGAATACAGAAGTCCGTAAGACCCAAAAGAAGATAAGCAAATATTTTATTTCTTTGCTTTGATCTCATAGAAGAAGCTTGTCATTAAGTAGGGAATTACTCTCGTAACCAGTTTTATCCCCCTATCAGAGAGAGGAGATTAAAAATCAAAACCAAAACCAAGCAAACAAATGCTGTTGTTGATCTGGATGGAAAGAAGGATTCAGACAGCAGAAGCAAATGTAGGTACTGCCATTCAGAGAGTGGTGAGGAGGTAATGGCCAGGTCCAGCAGGAGAGAAAAGAAAACCTTTTTATGCCAGATTGAGTCAAGGGACCGCACTGTGAAGAGAACCTGTGGCTTCCTTCTAGGGGTACATGGAGGTGCCATCAGTGTCAGTTGGAGGTCAATGGTGAGTGGCAGAGGGAAGTTGTGGAATCCTCGCATCCTCAGCCTAATTCTTGGAGAACTGCCTGACAACTCAGGTGATGTGCTGCACTTCAGTAGAAGCCAAAGTATCAGAAGCTGTTGAGAACCAGTCACCTCCCATGATTACCATGAACTGGGTTAGCTTCTCAGACCCTCCCAGCTAGGGAGGAAGGGGGGCGGTGAGGAGAAACTCTGAAAGGACTGGACAGTCACTGCATGGCCAGTAGGGGAAAATGAAGTCTCAAGAAAGAAAGTCAGCCCACTTAGAGGAAAAATTTTTAAAATGCATATTGACTTTTGGGTGTGGTGTTGCACATCTGTAATCTCAGCTACCTGAGAAGTAGAAGCAGGAAGATCTCTGTTCAAGATTAGACCTGGCAAAGTTAGAGCAAGACCCTATCTGAAAAGCAAACTAAAAAAAGTAAAAGGACAGGGGCCCGGCTCAAGTGGTAGAGCACTTGCCTAACAAGTGTGAGGCCTTGAGTTCAATCACTAATACCACCCCCTCACCAAAGTTGCACATTGTCCATTGAATTTGTGGTTAAACAAGATGTACAATCACAAATCATTCAGTTTTCCAAGGGAAGCAAAGCATAGCAAAAAGGACACTGGCCTGCTTTCAATTTTGTTTCTATTGTTGATTTATTGGCTACCTGATTGTCACCATTTGGGGTTTCAGTTCTTCATCAGTCCAGTGAGATGTTGGAATTAAATAATTCCCTAAATCTCCTCCTGTTCTGACAACTTTTTTTTCCTGCTAGTGGATGGAGTGGGAATTTTTTTATAGTCTCACCATTCAGAGTTTGAAATCCTTTAACTTGGAGGGCCAACAGGAGCTAGAGGGTTTTGAGTGGTGATAAAGTCAGTAAGTAACAGATAGGATCCTGCAGAATTGAGTCCTTAAGCACCCTACCTCACGGAAAGGGAGTACAGCCCAGTTTGCTCATTGCTGTCCCTCAGGAGGTAGCTCCCATCACGTCCGTTGGAAAGGAGAAGAGCCTCGGCTGCGTGGCGTGTGAGGTTGCTGTGATACCACCTGGAAAAGAGAGAACAGGGCTTTCATTCAGGGCAAATCAAGGTGACCCCTCATTCACTGGAGTTTCCTCTCAAAGGTTACTTAGCAATATTCTGCATCTTGAGTAGGCCAGAGACCAAACTCAGCCCTAACACCAGGACAAGGAAGTCCTTGGGTAAAGCTTATGGGGAGAGCACAGTGAGTTGTCTACAACGGTATGTTATGGTTGAATTCCTGAAAATTCACATGTTGAAACCCTTACCTACAGTACCTCAGAATGTGATCTTATTTGAAAATAAGGTTTTTAACAAGTTAAAATGAGGTCATTAAAGCCAATCCAGTATAACCGGTGTCCTCTTGTAAAAAAAGAAAATTAAGAGCTAGACTGCCACGTAAGGGAGACTGTTGTGTGAACATGAAGATAGTCACCTCAAAGCTAAAGAGACAAGCCTGGAGCAGATACTTCCTCATAGCCCTCGGAAGGAATCAGTCTTGTTGACATCTTGGTTTTGGACTTCTGGAACTATGAAATGATAGACTTCTATTGGTTAAGCCCCCCAGTTTATGGTACTCTGTAAGGCAGCTTTGCAAACTAATAGAGTATTGCTTTAAAAACAGAAAAGTTTAAAAGTCCAATCCAAAATAGCCATAAGAATAGGGTTTTGGACGACTTTTCTCTCTTTCTTTTAAAGCCTCTTGCACTTTCCTTTACAAGTATAGGACCATTTCATGGGAAAACCACTGAACTATTGTCCTAGGACCCCAGGTTATAAGTGAAATGAAGCTGGGTGCAGGGAATTCTGATGTTTTATAATAAGCATCGGTCCATCAAATACAGTTTCAAACTGACAAATATCTAAAGATCTGGGAAAGTCCCAAGGAAATTCAAATTGATCTTTGTATGTACGTGTTTTAAAGTTTATCTTTGTGTCTTAGAAAAGGTAACAAACACCTCCCTCTCTCTTTCTCTCTCTCTCTACACACACACACAGACACACATCTCCAAAAGACAAAATAGTGAAAATAAAGCTTTTTTCTTTCACCCTTCACCCTCATTTTCCCTGTTTTATTCTTCAGAGGACAACAATGTTGATCGCTGTCTTGTGTTTCTTCCTAAGAGAGTGTATGCACGTAGACGGCATGTCCTCACTCCTAATTTTATGGGACTAAGCTTTCTAGGGCACTTCCTTGCTCTTTGTTTCTCCTAATGACAGGTCTTTCACATGATTTTTAAGCACATTATTGTGGTAGTCCAGTATAACAATTAAATCTTGGCTCCTGGAGTTGTGTTGTGTGGGTCCCCATCCTAAGATCTTGGGCAAGTTCTTTACCAGTCTGCGCCTCTGTTCCCTCACATTCAAAGTAAGATTAATAATAGTTGTACTCCACAGGCCAATTGTGAGACTTGCTCATGTTAACATGGGTGAAGTGGTTGGAACAGGCCTGGCAAACAGCAATACTCAGTAGGTTAGTTGCTCTCATGCAGCCAAAGTCACAACTTGCAATGTATCCTCTGTGGTACGATTTTCTTGTTGTTCAATATAAAATTTTTTATGCCTTCCTATTTAGTTCGGATAAGAGAAATCTAGGTACTAGAGGCAGTTGCTGACTACCAAGACCCACAGTCCAGGGCAGTGGAGATGAGGGAGAGATGGACAACTAACAGATAATGTCAATGTGATAAGCTGAGTACTGCTAAAGAGTCTGACTCCTGCATTGAAATCTTGTCATGAGCTACACAGGTGTCTACTGTGATGTCCCTATATGCAGGAATTAGCCTGGGCAATAGAGAATAAACATAAGAGCATCTGTGTAAGGAAGTTTCTGCACAGGTCTCCAAAATATTTTTCCTAATGCATGCTTTGCTTTCTTTTTTTAAGCACATTTCCTCTTTCGAGGTTGAGATGATGCCTCCACATTTTATTAGGAATGTGTTTTCTAGCTAAAAGCAATGGCATGAAAAGTATTTATGAGACCAGCCACTGAGTTGTTTTTCCAGAGTGGCTCCATTCATCCACCTGATTCCCAGACAAGTTCAAATCTGTCCACTTCAAAATTATTTCAAAAGACAATTGGAAGAATTTCAAGGGAAGTGATTATAAACTTCAGGTACAACTAAAGCCAAATTTCTAATTCTTCTTGATAGGTGAAATCTCCACAAGTCTTCAATATATTTTGCCAATAATTAGCTTCAGGATAAACATTTCAGCATAAGATATCATATAAGCCCCTTTACTGAAGTAACATTAGATTAAAATTCTAAAACATAAAGGAGTTGCACATTCCTTTGGATTCTTTACAATGGAATCTGAAGTCAATGTTAAAGTTTCACAGAATTCTTCTGATATTAATTATAATTTTGGTAAGAACTTTTATGGTAATCTTTTAAATAATAACTATAGATCATAAATATATAAGAAATACTTGAGTGTAAAGCAAGAAAAGTTATCCTGTACTCCTGTTTGGAAAATCCTCAGAGATGGTCAGTTTTTAGGCAGCACTGTTGCTTGGGTTCACCTTCTACCTTGGTTTTTATGGAATCCAAGACCTGATTGGATATAGATTCTACCAGGTAGCCCTGGACACAGGGTGATGTCTATGGTGCAATGAGAATCCATATTCCCCAAATACGTCTTCCATAAAAGTTTAAACCTCCTGTTTTAATGAGTGCTGTATTCTTTTCTAGAACCCTTTGGTGGGCATACCTTTATCAAAGATATACACCCAAATAACACTGTGTAGCTTTTGTAGGAATAGGACTACCTCTAATGTGGTTGTTTAAGTTTGTATACATAAATGACTAAAAGTTAAAAACAGAGTTCAGTTGGTATTTATCTCATAATCAACATTCTCTACCCTCAATCATTGCTTCAAATCTGTGCAAAATTATGTAAGGCATTGTGTAGGCAGGTCAAGGTGAACAAAACTGGAAAAGCCCCTAACTGGGCTGTAAGAAACCATTAACCTAGTCAGGGGTATAAGACGAGTATATTACAAACAACATCCAAGAGGGGAAAAAGTACCCAGAGAATGTTCTAGGAAGAACTATCAAAACCAGGTTTCTTGAAAAAGCCAATATCTAAAAATGTCTTCAAATAAACCTGTCTTTTTAAAAAGTGTGTTTCTTTTTTTTTTTCTGATTGTAAAACCTAAGTGAAAACTAAAATATAAACATGTAATGAAGAGAAAGTGAAAGTCTTTCATAGACGAGGAAATATACATTTCAAATAAAGTCTGGCTACTAGTCAAGTAAATGCAAGCTAAAACTACAATAGGATATTTTTCCTTACCCACTTGACTAGCTATAACAGAAGAACTAAGCAACATTAAGTATTGGAGAATTTGGGGGCCAATGGATATTTCTTTTATTATTGATAGGGATATAAACTGGAGGTGAAATTTAGCACATCTACTTTAAGTGAACCTACATGTAACTAGTGATACTGATTTTCTAGTGAAATAATCAGACATAAGTGAGCAAAATATGAACGAGAGGGTCCACTGCAAAATTACTTGGGAGAGTAAAAGTTGAACTGACAAATATCACAAACATTACAAAATTGACAAAAATAACTTATTTTCATTGATTCAAAGGACCCCTATAATTTTCTCTGTATATTTTTGCTACACAGTCATTGATTGCATTTTCATATAACAATTTTATAATATAATTGTCTATAGAAGGAATGGAACAATAAATAAGTCTGTGTAGAACACTTTAAAAATATTCTTGATAGTATTGAAACATTTTCAGCTTTATATGTGGTATTAGTAAGGAAGTTTTTAGGATTGTAGGTAACTTTGGGACCATCTATCAGGCTCTTTCATGTATAAGCTACAAGATTCAAGAGCATTTTAAACTATTGTGACAGGGACAAATCTTAAATTCTCAGAGGTGACATTTACTAACTACACCGCTGGTGTCGCACAAGTGAGGGGACCTGAAGCTGAAGCTTCATTGACTTCCCAGTAAACTTGCCTCTGGTCATTACAAAAGTTATATAGTTTTTATTTTTAGATGGGGATTCATTGAGAAACCCCTTTGAACATCAACTTAAACTTTAATAATGAAAGACAGCGCTGTGAAATAGGTAGCATGCGTGTGTGGGGGTACTAGTGGGAGGGGAAGGTGAGCGATGGCGATTAAGGTGAGGGCATATGGTTGATGGACTTCATATACCTATATGAAATAGAACAAAGAAACCACTTGCAATTGCTTTAAGTGGGTTGGGGAGAGGATTGAGGGAGAGAGAGGACAGGGGTGATCTAATCAATGTACAATATAAGCTTAATTGGAATTGTCACTATGACCCTCCCATATAACAAATATATCCTAAAAAAATTTTACAAAAAAATAAAGTAAGCTCCAACATAAAAAAAAAAGTGTAACTTAGCAAATAAAAGCCACACATAATCCCTCATTGCAGAGGAATCACAACCATCAGTTTGATCTACATTCTTTTCAATTTTTGTAGTGTTTGAATAGTTTCAAAACCCTAATAAGATTTTCTTGGCAGTGCTGAGGATTTGAACCCAGGACCTTACATTTGCTAGACCAGCTCTCTACTATTCAGCTACACCCCCAGCCAAAACCCTAGCAAGATTCTTACCCAATCTTTATCTGCATATTTCTAATGCCAGGGAACTACTCGTATAGGAATGCCCATTCTGTATGTCTGTGATTGATGGACCGAAAACTCTTGCCTTGTTGAACTGCCAATTCCTGCTGGACAGCTTTCAGCAGACTGTTTCAGATCTACTTCTTGGAGTTACATAGATGATACTTATAAAAAGAGCCGAGAGCATTTACAATGCACCCTCTTCCCTTTCCCTTATCTTCGACTTCTCTTTTTATAAGACTTTTGGTTCCTTTATCACCCGGAGAGCCAATCTCCTCTACATATCTTCCAAGTTTTAAATTCCATCTTAAAGATAAGCTCTGATGTGCAAGACAAAGTAGCAGAACATCTGTCTTGTTTCGCTGCCAGGCACACATAGGACAACCTGAGATTGCACCAGTT